ATGAACTAGTTATTGGAGGGTTTTAAAAGTTAATTTTCCCAGTGAATTAATGACATTCAAATTATATACAAAACATTATAATTTTTCTCTCCTACATCTGAAGCCTATAGATACTTCATCCAGTTTTCTGTAACGTGAATAATTATTTCTTTAAATTTAATTGACACATAGTTATGGTATATATTTTCAAGATACATTACAACAATTTGATGTTTAAAATGTGTAAAGATCAAATCAGAACAATTAGCTTTGCTTTTTTTTTTTTTTTTTTTTTTTTTTTTTTGTCTTTTTGAGACAGGGTCTCGGTATGCAGTTGAGGCTGGCCTTGAGCTCACTTTGTAGCTAAGGCTGGTCTTGAACACACAACAATCCTCCTGCTTCAACATCCTGTGTGCTGAGAATTAGCATTTCTATCTCTTCAAATGTTTATTATTTTTATTTGTTGGAAACCTTAACGTTTTTCTGAAATATGCAATAAATTATTGTAGACTGTAGTTACCTTATGTGCTACAGAACACTAGAACTAATTCTTCCTGTGTTTTGGTGTCTATTAACCAACCTCTCTTTATTCCTTCTTTCTGGAGTGAAATGGAATCTCAGTGTTGATTTAATTTGCGTTTCTCTAATGGCCAAAGATGCTGAACATTTTTCATGTATTTATTGCCACTTTTACTTCTGATAAATGTCAATTTATTTCAGTTGCCCATTTTTTGATTGGGTCTTTTATTTAGGGGAAGGCCTAACTTTTTTTTGAGTTCTTTGTATGTGTTCTAGATTTTAGTCTTCTTTCTGAAACGTAGCTAGCAATTTTTCCCCACTGTGTAGGTTCTCTCTTCACTCTGTTGGTTATTTCTTTTGCTGTGCAGAAACTTTTTCATTTGTTACCATGTTTGTTGATTCTTGATATTATTTCTTGTGCATCTAGGGTTCTGTTCAGAATGTTCTTGCCTACTAGGATTTCAAGAATTTCACCTATGTTACCTTCTAGCAAATTGTTTCTGTGTGTGTATGAATATGTGTATGTTTTGTTTTGTTTTGAGATAGGATCTTGCTGTGTAGTGTAAGTTAGCCTTGAACTCATGGTAATCATCCTGCCCCAGCTTCCTAAGTATTGGAATTATAGGCAAATGGCACCACATCAATCCTTTGATCCATTTTTATTTTACATGATGATATGGGTCTCACTTAAATCTTCTAAAATTGTATGAAACTAGAAGCAAAATAGCAAAAGAAATCTTGGGCAACAAGAGCAAAGTAGGAGACATTATAATTCCAGATTTAAAGTTATTTTTATAAAGGTATAGTGATGTAAAAAAAAAAAAAACATTGGTGTTGACACAAAACCAGACATATGGATTGATAGAGAATAGAGGATATAGAAACAACGCCAACCATATCCAACCTCTGGCCACCTAATCTTTGATAAAGAGGCTAAAGACATATACTGGACCAAAAAAATGATCGCTTTAGCAAATCAAACTGAACAAACATTATCCACATGCAAACTTTTATTCTCATTTATAGCTGAGTTTGCATTCCCAGCAAGGCTTTGGGTGAGAGTAAGGGATATTAGCTTGAACTTTAGAATTCTTCTTAGTTCACATCACATTCACCTCCCCCAGCTCCCCTGCCAAATAAAAGCATGGAATGTAATGACTTTGATGTGTCAGAAGGAGCCTTTCTAGTCAACCAAGTATCCTGTGTGGCAAGTACTACTTTAAAGCTTTGGGATAGATTAAAAAAAAAAAAAAAAAAAAAAGACTCCCTAACAGCTGAAGGATCTAAGGATCTGGGGTGGAGTTATCTGCCAAATAACTCAGCCTAGGTCACCAACAAAGACCTCCCTCTCTTCCTTATGAGTTCTGCTTTGATGGGTGCTCTCTCAGTCACACAATTTGACCTAAAATACTTTTCCCCAAGTATCATTAAGGAGTCACTAAACTACACACACACACACACACACACACACACACACACACAGCTTATTTAGTAAAGTGGGGCTTCCTGCTTTATACCTGTATGACTGTCACAAAAGTGATCCACAAAAATCAAGCCACTGCTTCAGATTAAAAAAAAAAAAGTTAGATGTACCATGTCAGTTAAAATGAAGGTTCTTGACCATTCACGGACTGGGAGTAAAGAGAACAAGGCACACTAGGAAGCAAGTCTGGGAACCAGCACTATGCACAGGCCACCACTGGACTGGAGCAACCACATCCCAACCTCTCCCTGTGAGTCAGCACCGTTCTCAGGCTGGGGGTAGCGAGAACAAGGCCACACCAGGAAGCAGGCCCAGTCTGGGAACCAGTGTCACATGTGGGCTGCTACCAGACTGGAACAGAACGGCCAGACCCCAGCCCCTTCCAGTGCACAGGCTGGCAAACAAGAAGTACCAGTATCCCCTCCCCCCAACCACTGTAAATGACCAGCTTATCCAGAAACCCACAAGCTGTGATGATAGCTATGGAGGAAATACAACTGGATTCCTGTGGTGCTTCAGTGCTTTACTAACATTGCAGGTGTAGGGCCTAGTGGTCTAATCATAGGTTCAGAGGATAGCAGTATGCAGTGTGGCATCTAAGAGTGATCGCCTGAGGGTTGCAGCATTGTTGATTCCCTGTGGTCTTGTTTTGGAAATCCTGTATCATTTCCATCATTTTGTTGGATTATGTTTTATAGTTTTTTTTTTGTCTGATTATGTCAAATCTGATGGCAGGAGCAGGTATTTCAAAGATAGCAAGATATATTATGTTAGCAATTTAGGATTTACTAAAGGCTTGTTTTGAAGTTGCATTCATTGTCTTGTTTTTTATTGTTTCTATTCTATAGTGTTCTGTTTGATTTTTACTATGTCCAAAGTTATCTGCAGCTATTTTGAAGTCATCAAAAGGCATTATGGTAACTATTGTTGATTTTGTAATGTTTTAAAGTTCTGTATTTCTTACACTGGTTTGTTTTGATTGGTTTTATTCTGTTTTGTCCTCTTTAAAATAAAAAATAATGAAGATTCTTATCTATCTTGTGGGATTCTTATAAAAATTAAATTAGATATCTCCATTGGCCTTTGAACTCATAAAGGTTGTTTTGCTCACCACTCTACTGATTTTTTCAATATATTCTGCTGTATTCTCAGTTGGTAAAACAGTGCCTGGCATATAGTTAAGCTCAGTGTAGTTCAGTCAAATACACACAGAGAGCAGTAGAGTGAGCTCACAGTGCCACGCTAACACACTGTAGATCAGCAGACTTCTGTGATGTGAGTCTGGGGCCATCTGAGACCTGTGTTGCACAGGTGGCTTTCACCTGCTCCATTCAGGAGGACACTTTATGCGGTAAGGCCCATTTTCTCCCTTAAATCAAAACTGCAGCAAAGGTTGAACCCTTTCATCCCGGTGTACCTGTGGGAAGGATGAGGATGGGAGTGAAATGTTGGCAAACTGACCATATTTCATAGGCTCCGTGAAGCCATCAGTTATAAAATAGTCTGATTGCAGGGATTTTAAAATTTGAGGAAAAAAGAAGAAAACAGTGCATCACAGAATCAATGAAACAAAGCATTTTGGGTGGCAGTGGAGTACAATGGTTAAACCCATGTCTGGAGTCCAACAGACATGGCTAATTCATTACCGCTGTGGCCTTGAGAGAATTACTTAACCTCTATAAAATCGAATTTCCTCACCTCTAAGATGCTCAAAGCCACTAGGCCTGCATTGTGAATGGTATTGACCCAGTCTGCTTGATATTTTAGCTCTCCATCCAGTAAAATAAAATCTACAAACTGCTGCTTTTGTATTTCCTTCAGTATTTCATATCTCTGTGAAACAAAAAAGGTAAAGTTGCTATAAAAGTCCTCATGTTCACAGTTATCCTGTATAGCTCTGAAATGTTTACTTTTAAAAAAAGATGTTCATGCATTAGCTATGTAAAAGTAAGCAATGTTTTTAAAAAAGTTACAGTTTAGAAAGAAACTCGACTATTACCTGAAGTGCAGGTCAGTTTTCATGGCTGGTACTCAGTAAACCACAAATAAAACAGTGCCTCCTTTATAGAGTTGAGTGAATGTAAATGCTAAGTATACCCTGGGCGTGGTGTCCAGCCTGGGGAGGCCTCAGCAGCTACTCCTTGTTCGGGTGGTTGCCTTTTGAAAGAAGCCTCTTCTTTTTCTTGTTCATTGTTACTTCCAGCTGCGAGACGTGGACTTCGAATCTGGTACTAAGCATTTAATGAACATACAAATGATTTCTTCTTTTAGCCTTAGATTACCTCAGACCAGTGGTTAGGTACAAGAATATGGACTGGGGAAAGCTGTAGCTGGCAGTCCCTGGCCTTGCATGCAGAGAGAACCAGATGAGGCTTGTGGCATGGAATTGTGGACACCTACAGTTACCAAACCAATCGCTAGGCAAGTACAGAAGAGACCAGTCAAGCCAAGTTCCAGAGCAAGGAGTTAGTTACAGAAACACTTTCAGGGCTTTCAAAGACTGCTGCATTTAATGGGACTGCTTGGGGTACTATAGCAAATAAAATAATGAAGTTCATGGTAGTTGTTCAAAAATGGGTACATAGGGTACTGTCTTTAACACAGCACCTGGCTGGGATGGGGAGGAAGTAAAATGCCTTTGGTTTATCTCCAACATCTCAGCAGCCCTTAGTAGCTGCTCCCACAACATCAACCCGCCCTGGGGAAATTCTTATATATGTAATGATTGCAATTAAAGAGACAGACATACAGACAGAATGACAGACACACAGACAGACAGAGATGCTTGGACTCTCCAGTTCTCTTTCTTTGGCAATTCCAGGTGGGACTTTATATATAGTCCAAGCATGTTACCAGGATGGAAAAATAGGTATAGTTTTGGGTGTAGGGAACTACCTAATGCTTATGTTACAAATGCATTATACTCCTGAAATCAGTTTGAAAAGATCTTTCATCAACAACTTTTAGAAGCAAGCCCCCAGCCCAACTAACATTTCTCTTTACATTTCTCCCTGCCCAGGTGACCTTGTACAAGGACTCTGACATGGAGGACTTCGGGTTCAGCGTAGCAGATGGCTTGCTGGAGAAAGGAGTGTATGTCAAAAATATTCGCCCAGCTGGGCCAGGTGATCTTGGTGGCCTAAAACCCTACGACAGGCTCTTACAGGTAAGACTTCAATTCATTCCTTGCAAGTGACTTATAACTGGGAATTTCCTCCAAATCTTCCTGTATGCTTAGGGTTCTGTGTTTTATTCCTTCAAACCTGGTCATCAAGGTCTTGGGATTAGTAATAATAAAGAGCTGAATAAAGAATCTTCGGCTCTTAGTAATCTGTGTCTAATCCTCTGGTTTCTTATAAGTGTTTTGGCAGAGCTCAGAGCCTTCTTTCCCAAACGAAAGCTTATTACTGGCCAGGTGTAGTGGCTCACACCTGTAATCTCAGCGTTTGGGCTGAGGCAGGAGGATCACTGAGAGTTTTAGGCCAGCCCAGGCTACAAAGTGAGTTCAAGGACAGCCTGAACTGCATAGTGAAACCCTGTCTCAAAAAGACAAAAATAAATAAAGCTTATTACTCAGACCCAACCAACCAAGGGCCACTCATGTATCTCTGACATATATTAAAACATCATTACTATGTAGTTATCTAATGCCAAGCCACCACCAGTCCACTCCTTTCCTCCAATCTTCAGCATGACCTGAAAGGTCTCACCTTCCCTTACCAGTGTCTCTCTGATCTCTCTCTTCATTTGCTGTGTTCTGTATCCAGAGGCCACTTGTTGCAGGAATGCCACACCCCACCTTCCTCCTCCCTGGGCCTCCCTGCAGTCCTGTGATTTACAGAGGGCAGACCTTGTCCTCTGCTGCTCCTTAGCTTGCTGTCCTCCTCCCCCAGACTTGCATAGGCTTGCTCCCCTCGAACTCCTGCCCCTATTCCCCTGTCAGACTGCTCGATCTGAGTGGCCCCGTTGCTCTCGGCTCCTGGACCTGCTTCCTGATCTCACAGAGTGGTCAGACATCATGTTTGCTCTGTGCCTTGAAACATACTATTCTCCTTTCCTGAAACACTCTTCCGTTTCCCACCTCTTACCTGCCTAACATTTTATCTTCACTTAAAGTAGTGATTCTTCACCTTGCCTGAAAAATAGAATCTCCCAGTAACTGATACTGGTACCAGGACAGATCTCATCTCAAGAGGGAGAAACAGCACTCATGTGTTTTTAAACCTCATCTGGTGATCACAACGATCACTCAAACTGAAAAGCACAGGCAGAGGGGACTTCTTTCAAAGTCTTCATTGACAACAGTCATCTTTTGCCTGTATACATGGCCTAAACTTTATATAAGCTAAAAACTTTTTCCTTTGATAGAATTATTTTGTTGTGACTGCTTGATTCCCTGTACATATGTCTCAGTAGATAGTGAATTACTTGAGAATAGGGCTGGTACCTTATTCTCTCATTCACCATTAAACCATGTTTTATATCTCAGTATCTCTCATAATATCTGCAACCAGCAAGCTTAAAACCTAATGTACTATTTATCGTGGTCAGGTTTAGTTTCATTTAGCAAATCAAGTTCCTGATCTTATGTAGTTTTTAGGGACAGCATTTTGCAAGCTGAGTGGGTTGGCATCAATCTCAACGTATTTAGCTGGAATGCATCTTTCACCAGCAGCAAAATTTCATAGCAGGAGGCTGCAAAAGACAGCCTGTCTTTCAGGAGTGTATCACTGGGTCAAGTTGTATTGGTTAACCAGATAGTTTTAATGCCAGTTCTGGTGGTTATGCTTACCTTGGCAACAGAATAATTGAGTTGGGGGATACTTAATTTTCTGTACACACTCCAGTCCACACTGAGTGCTGCCTTCCTCATCTACTGGTTATAGTTATCCCTATTTTTAGAAAGTTTAAGCTGAAAAAATACACTGGATTCAGATTATGAAAACCCTCCAAGGCCACAATAAAATTCTGACTTTATTCTGGAGGCATAGTAATTTCTTAGGCAAAAGAATGATGTAATTTGTAACATAGAAATTCAATAATAGCTCTTTATGGTTTAACAGAGAAGATCATAATTATAGAGACAAAGTAGATGTGGCCAACTATTTCAGACCTAGTGTATAATAGCTTCAGCTTATCCTTGCAAAGCACTTTGGCAGGAAGTCAGCAGGTTGGATCTGTTGTTCAGTGGAGAAGTTAGAGCCAGAGATAACAGTTTCAGATATTGATGGTGTGGATTTAAATAAAGTGTATCATGATGAGCTTAAAGTAAGAAATAGAGAACAATGAATAGAATTCTTAACAATAGCAACATGTAAAGAACAGGAAACAATGAAGGCAGAATAATATTAAAGACAAATGATTAAAATGCTAAGAGCATCAAAACATAGTGGTATCACAAGAACCAGCTATACTGATAGGCCCCAGCTAAAATTCAGCCAGCAGCCCTGGTCCTACCAGCAAGTAAAGAACAGCCAAGTGAGGAAACTCACAGTGAGCCTTTCACAGGATATTTCTTTTATCTAGTGAAGGCCCAATGCCAGCTGTCTCACTTACAACTAAAAGGTCCCTCACTGGAGACTTGTTTACATGAGCAGGAGCCTATGCCCAATTTATACCTGCCGAACCATCGCCCGCCCTTTGCTTTTCAAGGAAAGCAAGTCTGGGGCAGTCCCCCTCATGCAAGGAGTGAATTCAATACACCGCCACAAAAGAAAACAAATCAAAGATGTTTGCTTGTACATCCAGAACAGAAAGGGCACAATCAGTCAAGAGCAGTTCTCTGCCAGGTTACACAGACAAGGAGATAGAGAGAGTAGAAGAGGGTAGGGAAAGCTAGAGGAGAAGGGAGGAACTTAACCACTAGCAGCACACACAAAGGAACAGGGTGTAGGTGTTATAGTTTATGTCAGATCCCCCCCTCCAAGTCTCACGCAATCATGGACACAGCTGAATCTAGCATTTGTGATTGATTCGTTGTCTAGCACCAGGATTGGTGGTGTGAGTGCTATCCCCACCCAGGGGTGGGGCCAGCATACAGTGTAATGGTGAGAAGAAGGCTTGTCTTTCTCTTTTGCCCCGTTCCCACTTTGCTGCAGGGGTGGCCATGCACCGCCGCCCCTCAGCCATGTCATTTTGTCTTAGAGCCAACTGAGTATGGACAGAAACCTCCAACCTGTAAGAAATACACCTTTCCTTCCCTATCTTTGGGCATCAGGTATTTTGTCTCAACAATGAGAAAGAAAAATAACAGAATTTGGGTTCCAGAGGAGTGGGGTCATTGCTATCACTGCACCTGACTATGTGGTTCAAGAGCCTTTGGGAATGGCTTGTAGGAAGAGTTTGGAAAGGTCTAGGGATGTCATCTGAAAGAGTGGTGCTGGGATAGCTTGGGCTGTTGTGTAGAGGAGATTCTGGTCAGAGCTCAAGAGACCAGAGGATGATAGCCTGCCAGTAAAGACCAAGCTTAGGAGGTTTCTGCTGGGAAGAAGGACTACATTGGTTGTTGGACTCCAGATGATGTATGGTATAGCTTGGCAGAGAGTTTATCTGCATTTTGCTTGTGTCCCGAGACTTTTCCTGAGACAACTAAGATTAAGGGTGGTGAACTGACTAATCTGGCAGATGAAATTTCAAGGCAATTGAATGTTGAGGCAGTGGCATGGCTATTGTTGGGGTTGTTAGCTAGAGTAATGTTGCAAATCAAGAACAAACCACCCAGTAGAATGACTTAAAACATTGTGAAAAAGAAAAGAAAAAAAAAAAAAATGTTGTGAGTTTGGCCAGAAAGCTGTGGACTTTAAAGATAGAGCTGAAACCTCAAATGCTGAGAAGGAACAGAGAAATAAAAAAGATGGCCTAGGGGCATTCTGGGAAGGTCTCCAGCATTTGCAGCCTCAAAACTGCAAAAGTGAAAGACTTTGCTCACAGAAGACAGCTACAGAGCACCATGTTCCAGGGTGGCAATGGAGGCCACAGGAGGTTCCAAAATGGCAGTAGCCACACCAAGTTACGGAATGGTAATGACATAGAGAAGCTGTTCCTCACAATCAGGTTCAGAGAGCTCAGTGATCCAAGCACTATCCCTAGAGCCAAGAGAGAGAAAAGCCTGGTTACTACTCCAGCTGGCAGCAGATCTGAGCAGCATCCACAGTGGCATTGATTTTAGTGAATGCACAAGTTCTGAGGTTAAGGCAGCTTCCTTCTCAATTTCAGAAGGTCTTGGGGGCCAGGCAGTGTACCCATGAGAGGGCAGTGTATTAAGATGTGAGTGAGAAGCCAAATATGCAGTGGGGACTCCAGAAGTTTGGAAAAGACAGGAACGTGGATCATCCAAGGAAAGCTGCCAAGATTAAAAAGACGAGGTTTAAGAGAAAAGCTGAAGGAGCTGAAATCCCTGGAAGTGCTATCGGGGTGGAGTCACCCAAGCCTTCTGGAGCTTGCAAACAAATTGTTTCAGATGCTGAGCATGGAACTCCAGGACTTAATGTTTGCTCTGCTGGACTTGTTTTTATTCCAGTGCTTTGTATTTCCATTTGTAGCTTTTGGAATGAGAAATTTTATCTTGTGCCATTGTATACTGAAAGTGTTTAAATTTGTTTTCATTTGTACAGGGGGTTGCAGCTAAGAGTTTACCTTAGATTTTGGAGACTTGGGATTTGGACTTTTCAGCAATGCTAAAACTGTTAGGACTTTGGCAACTCTTGGAGATGGAAATGTCTTTTGTATAAAGGATGTACATGAGTCTTTGGGGGCACAGAGGTGGACTGTAATGGTTTACCTCCAATGCCCCCCCAAGTCTCACACAGCTGAATCTAGTGTTTGTGATTGATTCATTGTCTAGCACTTGGATTGGTGGTGTGAGTGCTACACTCACTCAGGGTGGAGCCAGCATACAGTGTAACAGCAGGAAGAAGTGTCTTCTCTATCTTTTGCCCAGTTCCCACTGTGCTGCAGGGGCGGCCATGTACTGCTGGCCCTCAGCCATGTCATTTTGCCTTGGAGCCAACTTAGTATGAAGTGAAACCTCCAACATGTAAGAAATAAACCTTCCCTTCCCTATCTTTGGGCATCAGGTATTTTTTTTCAACAATGAGAGACAAAAGTAACTAAGACAATAGGCCACTTTAAGTTTCAGAGCAAAAGTGTAAATGACCTTTTTAAAAGCAAGGTGGGAAAGTGGGGATAGAGGGGTCGGGGTCGAGCTGGCTGGTGCGAGAGAAGCTTCTAAATTCTTCTCTCTGACCACTGGCTAGGGCCTTTGGATGTGTGTTCTATCAACACGCAGGCAGCAGCCCTTGCAGTATCATTCTGTTATATGAGGAGAAAGATCTTGAAGCACCAATAGGTGTTGAAAGCAGTAGATACTAAAGGCTGAAGAGGACAAGGACTCCTGGCTGTGGCTGACCTGGACTCTGAGGTCACTGCCAGCAGCACAATCTAAACCCAAGACCTCAGGAGATGGAGGAGAGAATGGAGAGCCGAGTGGAAGCAGAACACGTGATTTTAAAAACTGTTTTTGGTGAGGGAGAATGGAAGATGAGCTTATGTAAAGCAGGGAAGAATTCACTTGGAAGGGGGTAATTCAGTCATGGTTAAGATGACAGGTTTGGGAGCCTGCCATACCGCCCAGAAATAGGCTCTATCTCACTCTTACCAACCGGTAGCCAAAGGCAAAGCTCTCCTCCCACCAAACCAGACTTTCTCCAACTGTAAACAGGGGTGATATCCAGCAAGCAGAATACACACATGGATAAAGCTATCTACTTGGTATGAGGATGGGAGGGTGTGTACTTTTGCTGCTTTTAATGGGTTTACAATGTAGTAGCAGACCGATTAATGAGTCCATTACTATGATAGTGGACCTCTTAGCACAGGGTGTATGTTTAAGCAACTTGCTTAACTAACTTGCTATATGTGCTGTGCACTCTGGGGGATTTGAGGGATTTTGGACCCACCAACACCCAGCAATCCTTTTGATCCAACATTCAAAGTGTCTCTCCTTGATCTTTCAGGTTAATCATGTCCGGACAAGAGACTTTGACTGCTGCCTTGTCGTGCCCCTCATAGCAGAATCTGGTAACAAGCTGGACCTGGTAATTAGCAGAAACCCACTGGCTTCCCAGAAGTCTGTAGAACAGACTCTACCCGGAGGAGACTGGAGTGAACAGAACAGTGCTTTTTTCCAGCAGCCTAGCCACGGCGGTAATCTGGAGACCCGAGAACCCAATAACACATTATAGCAACACTTTTATAAAGCAGGATGAAAGACGATATCTATGGTGCTAAAAATCCCTTTAAGATGTCTGTGCTATTTGAGCACAGATAATCATGTGGCATTAACCGCAAGCACAGGGGTCTTTTAAATCTCTCTCATGGCTCATGTTCACTTCCCTTTTCAAGTTGAAGAGGTTTCTTTTTTGGTGACCACTATGGTATACAGCAGGCAGATCCCTGCTAGGCCCAATGGTAGAGAAGAAGAAAAACAGGCTACCCCTCCCCACAACTAACAGCAGAGGAAATTTTTTACAAGTTTCATCTTACTGTCACTTTTTGAAAAGAGAATTGTCTGTTTAGAAATATTATCTATGATGATTTCCTTAATTCACTTTGAAATCAGTTTCTTACTATAAAATCATTAATGTAAGAATTTGGCTAACAGTTTTTCCTATAGCTGGCTCTCCTAGGGGAACTAGTATTCAATAAGCTGCTGGGGCTGCTGCCATGAGAGGGGTACAGGTATCAAATCAAGTTAGCTTCGAATGTTTCAGCAATGATGCACGTAAGAGACCATAATAGGTGGAAGTAAATGTTTTGCCCAAATGTAGGAATGATTTTAACTAAGATGTATGCTATTCCCTATGCAACAAATTATCAAACAGGATATGTCTTGTGACCTGTTTTTTTAAGGACACATTTTTTTAATAGCTGAAAATCTCTGATAATGAATTAGTGTGTAGTAACACTGAGAATTAGTTATCCTATTTTTAAAATTCAAGACTAAGAATTTAAGAAAGAATGAAGAGTCTATTAAAATGAAGTTCATCTTAATGATAGGCAAATCAAACTCATACTGCTTGAGATGTTTTGAAAACTGGTAATACCAAGGAGTGTTCAGCACATGTGCTTAAAAATGACACTGGACTATCTTTTGTTCTGAGCCATGCCACTTATCAAAATTGTAAATACATTCTTCACAAAACACATTGCCAATTATTACCATCCCTCAAAGCAATAAATTGTGACAGTTGCTTTTATTGTTTGTTGGCAACTGTTTTCTTTTGTTCAGATATTTTGAATAGCTACACTAATAACTGTTATTTAATAAATATTAAAAATAGATCTGTATATTGATGGTAGGATGTTGAAGCAGTTATTTTCCAAACATTTTCATTTTGGTGAATAATTCAAGCAACCATTTAGGCAAAGCATTTAAAACACTGTGTCCTTTGTTTAAAGAGAAAGTTCACTTTTCTTTTTGTGAAAAAAAAAAAAAAAAAAACTTCAATCACATGTCAGAACCGCCAGGGCAAGAAAGTATAAAGCTGAGTCATATTAAGGAAAAAGAAAAGATCATGAGTCACTTAAATATGTATTTTTATTTGTAACAAACAAGTATTAAACTGTAAAGTATTTTTGTACAAATTTAATACTTTAATAGCATGATATTTATCGTCTATGTATGGTTTTGGGGACTCAAAATTGTTGCAAATATTTGTATGGAAAAAACCCTCTACCAAATGGAATAAACAGTGATTTTAAAAAGTCAAAAAAAAAGGAAAGCATGCAGTTTTGATGCACTGAATATATTTCACTACTCTATCCTGAGTTCTATACAATGTTTACACCATGTTCCACCAGGGGTAAGTGGAGAGGTTTTGCCATAAAACTGAAAAGCACCATGGATAAGAGGGAAGAACATGGGCTTTCAAATCTGGATTTCCATTCCAGCCCTGCTCCTCACTGGCAGCCTGACATTTACCTACAATGAGGCAGCTTCCCCATCTGTGACACTAAAAGTTATATCTGCACTGCAGGACTACTATAAAAGTGTATGACAGACTGGGTAATTTAGAATGGGAAGTCCAATGTAGGAATGCCTCAGAGGTATTGTGGGTTTGATTCTAGACAACTGCAGTTAAGAGAATATGACAGTAAAGTGAGTCAATGAATTTTTTTGGTTTCCCAGTACAAATAAAAGTTATGTTTATACTATAGCAGCCTATTAAATGTGCAGTAGCATTATACCTTTTGATATACACATACATATATATATATATATATACACACACATATATATATACATAATCTTAATTAAAAACATAACTAAAAACTGCTATTTTTTGAGCAGTTAGAAAAATGATGGCAATCTACTTACTAATGCAAGGTTGCCACAAAAGTTCAATTTGCAACTAACACTACACCTGAGAATCACAGTAAACCAAAGGGCAATAAAGCAAGGTATGCCTTAACCGAGGAGCTAGGATCTGGCAAAGGCATCCTGCTTCACGGCAGAAGGCAGCGGAGATGAGACCTGGAGAGCACAAGACGGGGCAGAACTTGCTTTTTAGCAGGAATCCATTGCCCAGTTGCTAACCCACTCAGGACCTCAACACCTCACATCAGGCCTCAGCTTCCAACACTGGAGCTCGGAAATTAAGCTGCTGGCATATGAACTTTGAGAGACACAAACCACAGCACCATTTAAGAGTAAAGATTTAAAATCAAATCACTTTAAGAGAAATCTTCCCCAAGTGGGATACATTCAAAATAACATGCCCTAACTCGGGAGGGGTTTCCAGGAAAAGTCCCAGGTGTGCTGGGTCTCGGCAGCAGGGGCACAGTGAGCAGCATCCTGGTCATCGTGGTCACCCACAATGACCAGGACATTCCTCAATGTGCGCCCACATCAACAGACACAATGACAGTTCACTGCTGCACTGCTTCCGCCCACTGGCTAAGAAACCAACAATGATTGTGGAAGATCATCATCCTAAAAAAATAATAATAATTTGAAAGTAGAAGGGTTGGGGGCTGGGGATTTAGCTCAGCGGCATAAGCGCCTGCCTTGCAGACCAGCAGTCGCAAGTTTGATCCCCGGGACCGATAAAAAGGAAAAAAGACAAAAAAATTTTTAAAAAAAGGAAAGTAGAAGGGTTTTTTGAACACACGTTTTCTTTTTTCCCCTCATGTGTGTACAATACTACTGGTTCTCACAATGATAAGTGTTAAAATCGTTAAGATTCTCTTTGATCAAATCAATTTAAAACACCACTGTCTTGAAGTAAACTTCCAATTTATAGGGATCCTCTTTCATCTTGAAACTCTTGAGGTTGCAGTGCTCTTTTGTTTTGAAAGGCAAATAATACACAATTACTTTGAGCAAGAAGAAGTGAAATTTTCTTCATTGATTGTGGGCTTGAAAAGTTGCCTGGGGATTAAGTTATTTAGCTGCAAATTCTGAAATTTAGAAGATACTTGTGGAGATGATTCTTCTACCTATTAGAACAAGAAGAATAAAATTAGTTTCATAAAAATATGCTCCACCCATCCTATGTATTTCTATCCCCTTGCATTCTTTCTGAAGAAGAAATAATACATTTCCCCCAAAACGATGGAAAGCCTGAGCAACCAAGAGAGACATGCTGTAGCTTCTTCAAGGTTTGTATCTGCTCTGCCTCCCCACGGTACTTGCAGCACTCAGTTGGGTCTGGCACGTGGAAGTAACTACTTACTAAGTAAATGCGTGTGTCTAACTTCTAAGGTATGGTCAGGGTTTGCTACATCAGTTGGGAGTCTGGTACAAAATTAAAATGATTCCTTGTTCAAACATTACAAATTTCAAGATGGCTACTAAAATACTGAAAAGCAATTTAAAAATGCCTGGGTCCCAAGCACACAGCCCTGTACAACTCCCCAGGTTATGTGCCCATGAAAATAGCTCTGCATGTGGGAAGGAGAAACACTCCAAGGCTAATATCATGTTCTTCATACTACTGATGATTCCCACGTATCACTCAACAGGCTAGCATGGTCACGAAGTTTCACCATCATAGGAAAATGAGGAAAAGAAATAATTCATCTTTCACAATTAAATACATTCATTTTACAACACTGTGGTGGTGAATTTAGTGTCAATGTGGCTAAAGCTACAATACCCAGATATCCAGTCATATATTATTCCAGATAGATCTGTGAAGGCATGTTTCACATGAGATTCGCATCTGATGAGTCATTTACTTTGGAGTAAAGCAGATTAACAGCTCTACTGTTGGTGGGCCTCATCCAATCAGTGGAGATCCCTACTAGAAAAGAGACTGTTCTCCCCTAAGGAAAAAGGAGTTCTGCCAGAAGACAGCTTTCAGACTCTTATTTTAGCATGGTCAAAATTTCAGATTTGCCAGTCTCTACAATCACATGAGCTAATTCCTTGAAATAAACTCCATTCTGATAGTATTAAGATATATTTATATCTAATGGTTATCTCTCTGAAGAAGCCTGATTAAATTACAGACTGCTCTTTATTCAGAAATTATATGACTACGTCCTCCCTCATTTGTATATAAAAATATGATTTTTTAAATTCTGGAAACTACTGACTCATGATACATTTGAACAGTATTTATTCATGTTTTTATCTAAAGGTATGCTTCCATTTTCCTTTTTTTCTCCAGAAATGGGGTAACCAGGCAAAATATCAGGTCAACTTTTTCTTTAAGGACTTTTTCCAAAACTCAAAGCCATGAATCCATTAAAAAGAACAAAAGCTTTCATCTTGGAGGGGCTCTGTCATTTAGTATAGTCATGTGCCCCAAAGTGATATTTCAGCCAACAAAAACTATAGATTAAGCTTATAATGGAGCTAAAAGAATTCTTATCATCCAGCTCAAGGCTTTACTCATGTCTATGGTGATGCTGATTTAGACATTTTAACTGCACTGCCAGTCATGAAAGTATAGCCCATACCACTACGCACAGGCATAACACCTGATAATAATTATGTTGTAGTTTATGTATTTGCCATAGTTTTACTGTTATTTTTGAGTCAGTCTTCTACTTACAATAAAGTTTACTGTAAAGCAGTGTGCCATGTGACATGAAGAGCAGCTTCATGCCTCTTACTCTTACATGTACTGACCCTTGATTACATTAAGAAGCCATACTGGGGGGCTGGAGATGTAGCTCAGCGGCATAAGTGCCTGCCTTGCAAGCAGGCAGTCGTGAGTTCAATCCCCGGTACCGATACAAAGGAAAAAGACAAAAAGAAGCCATACTGAGCGACTGACCTGTACCATCTATACTGGTATAAGACACGGATGCACTTCATTGAACTTAAATTTGAGTTTTAAAATTTTTTTACCTTCTTTGTTGTTTTTTGGTTGGTTGGTTGGTTGTTTTTGCAGTAGTGGGGATCAACCCAGGGGTGCCTTATCACTAAGCTAGCTCCCCAGCTCCTTTTTAAAAAAAAAAAAAAAAAAAAAAAAAAACTTTTTTGAGACAAGGTCTCATTAGGTTGCCCAGGCTAGCCTCAAACTTGCACACCTCCTGAGGAGCCAGGATTACAGGTGTGTGCCATCACGTCTAGTCCAGAATTTAGCCTTAAACAATGCACGGCTGTACTGATGGAAACGTTGCTGAGGCTCTCAGCAATGTGAATGTGAAGAAAGGGTACGTCACCACCTCTCGTCATTGGACCTGTCAATGCACCTGAATGTCTAGAATTCTGGAAACCCAGAACTCTCTGTGTTACCAATCCCAAATCTTTAGATTCTTTTTCTTTATTTCTAGAAATTCCTGTAGATGTAACATACTTTTCACAACTACTGTGAGAAAACACAGCCTCTTCCATTAGAGAACTTTGTGCTGCTGTCACCATGCAGTGACATCAGCTAGCCCTGGATGAACCCCCAGTGTCAATCTGGTGTTCATGGACCTATATTATTGGCCTCATCACAGCTTAAAAGCTCTGGCAGGCTCTGAACTACCTTTTTCTCTCGGTACCATCATGTCAAACCATATCCTCCACCCCATGCTGGGGCTAAGCAATGTAACTCAAGAACTTCTTTAAAAGTTTGTTCTCTGGAATTGCCTCTTCTGCTCAGATGAAATACCTTTTTCCAGGCACTGTGCAAGAAATAACAGATTTAAGCTGGACATGATGGGAAAAGCTTATAATCCCAGCACTTGGGAGGCTGAGGGAGGAAGATCGCTGTGAGTTTGTGGCTAGCCTGGGCCACATGGTGAGGCCACGACCAGCCTAGATTATATAGCCAGACCCCAGTCCAAAAACAAAAGGTTTAATTTCAGAAAAAGATGCTTTCCTGAGACGGAAATTCCACACCAAATAGTTGAACAGGGGTGGAGAATGAAGTTTAGAATAAATAGGGAGAAAATGGAGTGACCCTTTCCCCACTGTATGTACAACTAACACTGCCCACAAATTGTCCCCTGGGCAATTTTCCCAATCCTAGTTAATGGTACCAGGATCCACTGCAGTCTCTGGCTAGAAGCTTTGAAATCATCCTGGCCCCAACTCCAGCAGCACATAATTCATCATTAGGACTCACTAACTGTCCTTTAGCAGCTCTTCTCCAAGACCATTGCTAGCACCTGACTATTGAAAGAATCTAGAGAACTTGCATCCCCTAGTCTCTTCCTAACCACTATCCACTCAATTCCAGTCAAGATCACCTTAGGAAATTTTAACTCACAGAGCACTTAACCAGTTTCTACTGTTCTCTATTGCAATGAGAATCTCTTTAGAAGACACTGTCTGTCCTTCCTGATTATGCCTGCATCCTCAGCCCCACCTTCTGTTTCCACCCTATGCTTGTCCTATACCTGTAGGTCGGTACTGTACATGCTGAGCCCATGTCAGGCAGACTCTTTGGGAACGAGCCAACTGTCCCATACCTAGCTGGGGACAGAGGACATGATTATCCAGCTTTTCTGGAGCACTTTGTCCTCTGAGCACCTACTGGAGTTCCCTGTCTCCATTACGCTTCAGAAGCAGAAACATTCAAGTCTATTGGTAGCGCAATATGGAATTCTTAAGCGTCTGTTGGAATGACACTTGGAAGATAATTTCAAATCCCACGTCTCCTTGCACCTGAAACACTGCCTGTCACAGAAGGACTCTTCCTTTCCCCAAACAAGTTCTTGTGATTTCTCATGTCAATTTTTCCTTGTAATGCTGTCATCCTCCAAATTGTTTCAGCCAGAAAAAAAGGAATCCCTCTGTATTATTCTGTTTTCATCCTCTCACATCTAGTGAACAAGTTGTACAGACTCCATTTTCAAAAAGCAAAAACCAAAAGATAAGAAAAGGGTTGATTCATTTTAGCGGAAGAAGACATTAGCTTGACTGGAGCTGAAAAAGAATAGTGAGATGTGGCATGGCGGTGGGAAAGCTGGACTCAAACTAGAAATGTCTCAAATGTCAAGTCAAATAGTTTAGAGTTGAAGCTGTAGGTACCTGGGGACCAGTGAAAGCTTTTGCACAAAACAACAAGCCGATCACTCAAGGGGGCTGAAAATCTGCCCACAATGTGTCAGGTGTTATTAGGAGAAAGGGAATAAGGCAGGGAAAGAGAGCCGGGCATCAATCACCAGGAGGATCAGATAAAGACTTAAAACAGAGCAGACTAGATATAAGGGGGAAACTGCCTGAGAAAGACACTCTGCAATAACACTAACTACCTAAAGGCAGCAATTAAAAGTAAAATGAATCTCAGGTACCACTAAGACTTCAGCTGAACACAGAACAGTGAAGCGGGAAAATGAATAGACAGTAAGATGTTGGGTTGTGGTTCCAGAAAAGTCAGTCTCTAGAAATACAGACATGGATCAGGGAAAGGCTCTCTCACTGCTCTTCAGCATCACAGCACTCATCAAGTTACTTGCACAGATGTCTGTCCGCACCACCCAAGTGTAAGAGTAAGAACTTCACTTCTTTGTTGTTAGTTCCCAGGACCTGGAATGTCACAGTCGAGACTTTGTTACACAATCACTGGCACAAAGAGAAGAGCTGAAACGTAGACCAGCATCTCCAGATTTGGGGGTGATGGTGATGAATGAAGGGGAGAGGTCATTGGAGTTCGGGAAGTGTTAGCCTGGGTATCTCTGTAGCCATGGGAAGCAAACACTGCAACAGCAGCAAAGGTAAAGCTGTTCGATGCAAGGGGAGCCAGGCACTGTGGTGCATGCATGTAGACCCAGCACTCCACGAGGCTAAGGTAAAGGATGGCAAGTTTGGATTTAATCTAGTCGGATTAGTAACAGTGAGACTTGTCTCAAAATTTCAAAAGGGCTGGGAATGTTGCTCAGTGTAAATGCACCGGTTCAACTCCTCAGTACTGCAAAGGGAACAACAACAACAACAAAAAAAAAAAAAAATCCCAGAGAAAAGTCAAGAACAAGACCTAAGAAAAAGGCCCCTAAAGTTGACAAGAACTGGCAAGCCACTTCAAAGAAACCGTGGGGATAAAGTAAGATCACGACCTGTGAAGATCACGGCAAGTCAGGAGGGAGAACAGAAACAGAACACGTTGGGAAAGGAGTAGTGACCATGAGGTTGCTTTTAGCATCTCAGCTCCCATCACCAGTGCTAGATCAGCTGAGCCCAGAAGAGGGAAAACTGGGCAGGGATGAGAAGCAGTTGTTTTGAGGGCGACAGCCCAAGGTAATACGCACAGAAGTACAAAGCCACTCATAAGCACACTAACGTTAGAATACTGAAACTAAATCTGAGTACTTCCCAACATCACTCCTACCTTGGAAACTTTGCTTGGACTGTCACAGATTTTCACACCAGAGGTCCTTTTGGGCCCTTGAGATGACAAATCCTCATCTGTATCCATGTCACTGGCCATCCTGTCATTAGTGGAAGAGGACTGGTTCTTGGCAACATCATCTGTGATGGTGACAGTTGTGTTTTTAGCAAGGGGTGCTTCTGGCAAGTTGGGTCCCCCACTGTCTCCAGAGCTCGCAGGCTGGGACGGCTGGTCTTCTGGAGAGGCACTTCTGACAGACAGCTCATTTTGTAAGAAATGCTTCAGACGAGTTTGCCGGAGAATATTTGGTTTCCTGATTGCACTCTGGAGCTGAGACTCTTGTGCAATGATGTACACTTTGCAGCGGCCCCTGGTCACTGCGGTGTAGACGTGCTGCCAGTGCTGGCGGCCTGCCTTCCCCACCACATATGCAACTGTGTGCTCCTCAGACCCCTGAAAGGCAACAAGACAATGTGAAGAGAATGCCCACGTGTCACAAAGACAGTCCTCACCGTGCTCCCACATACCCTCTGCCTGGCCAGCATGTCCACATGGATCTATTCAATGGGTCTACGTTATTCATGATCTCAGAACTCATGTTTGCTAAATATGATGCTAAATTCAAGTCTCACCGGTCCACAACATGCTTTTGGAAACTGAGCAACAAAGACTTTAAAGACTGTATACAGTACTAAATTTTCTCTAGTCAAAGAATTTGAAATGATTGTATGGATTTTATGTGTAAAAATGGTATTCTAATGTGCATTATGGCAAAAAAGGATTCCTCAAATGCCTAATGACATATATATATTTAAATATATTTATACCTGTATCTACATATATTTGTAAATATCAGATACTTTTAGAATATAACAAAATTTTAAAAGCTGAATGCTGTACATGGAGAATGGCCACCATTATTTAACAAATTACTCTGACCCCCAAAAGTAAATAAAAACGTAAGTATACAACCATAAAAGAAAGGAAATTTTATAAAAATTTTAATCACTATATCACAAAATGAAGGGCCTAAGGATGACTATTTTGCTTCTATTGTGTTTTCTAACGTTTGAAACATTTATTAATCCTGTCAAAATGTACAAAAGATAACCGTTAATCTTTTTTTCAAGTTTAGCAAATTGAGAATTGTACAGGCAAAAAAGCAGTGTGTCCATTAACTTCACGGACACAATTTCATGCTTTAATGCTAGTCATAGTTTGGAGAACAGCATGTTGGGTGCCAAGTAATTGCAGATGTGACCAAAACCACTGTCTCCTCCACTGCTCTCACCCTCCTACGGAAGGGGAGCTGCGGGAAGGCAACCAACAAGACGGTGTATGAGAAATACAGACCCACCGAAAACCCTTCTCCATACAGACCCACCGAAAACCGCTCTCCACAGTCAGCTCTTTAACCTTTAGACAGTGCAAACAATTCATCAGACTGTAAAAGTTTGATAAATACTTCTTTCTAAAGCTTTTGGATGCCCAAAGCAGATTTCCATGATACCTGATTACACAAATACATTTTATATACATATGCCATTTCTCTCCCTTGGACTTTATGTCATGTATTCCTAAATCTATAAACATGTACCTAAACTTAGTCAATTAAGCAACATTGAGAAAAACAGTAATAACAGACAAAGAACAGTCTCATAAACAATCTCCCTGGCACACTCGTCCCAATCCACCATCCTAACAACAGCCACATGGATACTGTAAAACTGCAAGTCCAGTCACACTGAATTCTGTTCACAATCCTTCAAAGGCAAGAGCAATATCAAGAGGGCAGACTGGTAAGCAGTAGAGAAAGAGCCTCTCTGAGACTTGCAGTCCACATGCTGGAATATAGTAATGTGGGGAAGATGAGAAGATGGGAATGGGTCCAGGGGAAGTAGAAGAATCCAAAGTGCAAGTTGAAACCCACAGAGAGAGTAAATATAGAAACTTCAGCAAAGAAGGAGGTAGCTATTCACACTTTCTCCCGAGAGGGGACCCCCTGCACAGGAGGAGTGTTCAAACCTGCTGACGCACAGTGACGGTGGTGAACCAAGAGACCTCCGTGGAGACAGACGGCACTGGAGAGGGGCAGGGGCAGTGGACATGAAGGACTGCACTGGCTGGCAGTGAGTGCTGAGGGCACAGTCCTCCCACAGGAGAGAACAATTGGTCTGGAGCTATGTTGGACACAGCCCAGCTAAATCAAAACTCAGAACTGCAGTAGGCTCCATCTAGTGGCTCCCGGCTGGGTTCAAACCTGCAGACTGTGCGGAGATGGCAGCAAGTCCAGTGAATCTTCTCTGGGCCACAAAGTGCAGGTTCACTGGGATTGTCCACTAGCCTACCAAAAACCTACTACTGGCTTCTTGTGATGGATCAGCATGGACTAGAACTGTGTCTCCACAGATTATCTACCAGTGAAAGCAGGGACAAGCCTGGAAGTGGACTTTTCTGTTTCTCTCTCTCTCTCTCTCTCTCTCTCTCTCTCTCTCTCTCTCTCTCTCCTCTCTCCTCTCTCCTCTCTCATTTTTTGTTGCTGTGGTGGATTTGTTTTTCTTTTTTGTTTTTTATTTTCATTATTTTTTCTCCTGCACTGTTTGATCTTGCTTTTATATGACTCCATGGTTTCTTCTTTCTATTTCTTCCTTTTTCCTTCCCCTCTTGTCTTCTGCACCAGTATCCCAAACTTAGATTGAGTTCCCTTTGTCATACAACCTTATTTCTAATCTCTTCCTCTTCTTCCACTTCTCTATTTTTTTCCTTAACTCCTTTTAAATCTTAACCCATACAGCAAAATTGATATATTAAGGACTTGTATACTGCATATAATTTTCTGGTTTGTTTTAGATTTTGTTACAGAACCAAAAATCTACTTCATATAGTTAAAAGTGGCAAATTAATGTTTAGCTCAGTTTGTCAATTTCTAACCCATGTTTGATGCTTTTGATATCACCATAGCCAAAAGTGACATAATTATTCTAAACAGTTATTCCTCCTGGCATTCCAAGACTGAAATGATGAAGGGTCATACAAAGTAATGTGGCACAGTGCCAAAGAACCAGGTTTTGGGCCAAACAAGCAACAATATCTCATCTCCAACAAACTGAAGTGGCAAAATCTTCCAAAAGACTCAAAACCCAAAAACCAGCTACAACTTTAAAGATCCTAACTACTAGCAATAAAAAAAACCCACCATAGGAAATTTATAAGCATTACCTCAAGAATTAACCTGAAGAAAGAAAAGAAAAAAGGCACTTAAACAAGATGCAGTCCTAGACATTCAATTCACCAAAGGCAAACTCAGGAGGCAATGAATTGAGATGATCCAAAAGCCTCCCACTTGGTCTCTCTGAAGTAGTAACAACAAAGCAATTGAATGAGCTTCTGGAAAAATATCAAATCAAAAATAATGTCTCGGATAACCACAGAGATGGTGTCCACAATAAAGACCAAGCTTAGTAACACTAGAGCAGATATAGACACCAAAAAAAAAAAAAAAAAGACAAGTTTAAAAAGCCCTGAATGCATAGCATAGGAAAGAAATGGAATCTATAAGGCAGATTCAAGCAAATATCCAGGAGAATAAAAATTCCACTGAAAGTATCCACAACAGATTAAGCCAATGTGAGGATAGCATCTCAGGTATAGAGATAAGCTGGTAGTTAACAATCATGAAAAGAAAGGTTTCTCAAAACTATCAAGGGGCCATAAGAAATCCATCCAGCAGCTGCTAAATGGGACATACAAAAATAACTAAAAATGGACTGGAGTCAATGAAAAAGCACATGATAGCACAAATGACATAAAAACTGTTCACAGACATCATGACAGAAAACTTCTCTGGTAAGGAAAAAATTTGACATGCAGATAAATGAGGCATAAAGAACTCCAGGTGCCCACAAACCACCCTCCCCCAAAATAAAATGTACAATCAGGAAAATCATAGTCAGCATTCAAAAAATTCAACACAAGAATGCAGTCTTAAAAGCTGTTAGGAAAAAGAAACAACTCACCTATAGTGGAAAGTGCATCAGAATCACAGCTGACTTCTCAGCACAAACCCTTAAGGAGAGTGTGGAGTGAAGTATTCCAAGTTCTAAAGGAAAACAACCTTCAACCTAGATTAATGTACCCCACAAAACTATCTTTCAAAATTGATGGACAAATAAGATACTGTCATGACAAAGAACATCTGAGGAAATTTCTAACCATCTAATCAACCCTCCACAATGTTTTGAAGGACATTCTAGAAAGAGATAACAATGACTACAATTCCATGAAACCCAAAAAAAGGAATACAACCAACAAAGAAAACAATTAAACAGAGAAAGGGAAAAAAGAGAGGGGGCCAGCAACAAGAAAATATAACATGACAAGGATAAGTCAATACATATCAGTTTAAACCAGCAACGTTAATGGTCTCAATTCACCAATCAAAAGACCCAGATTGGCAGAATGGAGCAAGAAGTACGATCCAATAATATGCAGCATACAAGGAACACATTTATTCAAAAACAAATTGACAGCCTGAAAGTCAAAGGATGGAAAACAATACTCCATGTGACAGGAACCCAGAAAAAAACAGAGTAGCTATTCTATTTGCAGACAAAGTGAATTTCAAGCCAAGACTGATTAAGAAAGATAAAGGAGGTCACTATATCCTTGTAAAGGGAACAATCCAAGAAGAGGTAATAATCATAAATATATGTGCAACAAATATCAGTGCACCCAACTATATAAAACAAATACTAATGGGCATGAAAAATCAAATAAGGACTAATACAATTGTATTGAGGGACCTCATACCCCACTGTCACAAAAGATTCCACAAATTAGACAAAAAATCAACAATGAAATATTAGAATTGAACCAAACTCTTAAATAAATCGATTAGTAGATGTCTACAGAATATTCCATCCCACATCAGAATACACATTCTTCTCAGCTACATGAGACATTCTCCAAAATAGACCACATACTAGATTAGCTCATAGAACATTTTTAAGTAAATGCAAAGAAATTGAAATTATCCTGTGCATATTATCAGACCATAGCGCAATGAAACTGGAGATCATTGGCAAAAGAAATCACAAGAACATCATAAACACATGGAAATTACATAGCACCATCCTGAACAACCAGTGGGTCACAGATATAATTTAGCAATCTGTCAATGGCTGCTATGTTTCCAAGGTAAAGTTCTAGGCCCTTAGAATGTCCACAACATTCTTCAGGAGCCAGCCTGAGTTCTGATCCCCTTTTACCTATTCTCCTATCTTTCCCATGAACAGGGTTCCACTCAGGGCAAGGAAATTCCCTGAGGTGCTGTCAGCATCCTTTGGTCCATGGCACCAGCAAGCAGGGTCCACAGCTCATGGTGTACTTCCCAGCAACCTCTACTTCCCCTTTCATTGACTTTTAGAAGACCCGAGGCTCTGTGAAGGTAGACCACATGTCTCTGATCACCTGCTCTTTTCTCCTACCTTTGCTTTTCTACTATCATTTTTCTTTTTAAAAAAACTGCTGAATTATAGGCATTTTTGTAAGTCATTTCAAGTTGTTTTTGAAACTGAGAAGAGGTATGTTGATAAAATATTATCCACTTAAAAAAATGTATGCTCGTTAATGTCTACTAACAGAAGATAAGTGCTAACCTAAATTTCTCCACATAAAAACAGGGTGACACAGCCTTCTCATTGAAACAGCCAATAGCATAGAGGGAAGTTCAAAACAATGAGACAAACAACACAGACCCTAAAAGCTTACAAAGGTTCAAGAGCATTGAAGGTTAGAAGCAAGTTACAATAAAGGCGGTGTGATGTCATAAATTAGAGCTGAAAACAAAAACAGAATATTAGTGGGGAAACAGGTGAAATCCAAATACAAAACAGACTGTGTACTGTGCTATGTAAAACAATGGTAATTTCTTAATTCTTGACAAATATACTATGGTTACATAAAATTCTGTCATTAGAGAAAGCTGGGTAAAGAGTATGTTGTAACTCTGTGCTATCTTTCCAACTTCTATAACTATTGCAAACTACTGTATTCCCAATCAGTTTAAAATTCTTTTTTTTTTTTTTTTTTTTTTTGGCTTTTTCATTTTTATCGGCACCGGGGATCGAACTCACGACCGACTGCTTGCAAGGCAGGTGCTTATGCCGCTGAGCTAAATCCCCAGCCCCCAGTTTAAAATTCTAAAAAAGGGGTTGCCTCCACAACTCTTTTTTGCTCTTTTTGTAGGAAAAGGACACATTTCTCAAAACTTGCTCAAGTTTATTAAAACCGATATGGAGAGTATATTCTAATATAACACAGCTAAGTAAACTAAAAAGAAAACCAATGATAATTATACAAAAAGCTAAATACACATTGTATGCATATACTTGTCCCCTTTCTGCAAAAGTACAGAAATATGATATAATTTGTTTAAATACAGGAAGATTTACATAGAAATTGCTCCCCCCCCCCACCCCCGTTAACAGCGATCGAACTCACAACCTCATGCTTGCCAGGCAGGCACTTAAGCCACTGAGCTAAATCCCTGGCCCTAGAAATTGTTTCTATAGGAATAGAAATGACATACAACAGATAAACAACAGAAGTCACTTCTTGATAAAGGTGAAGCAGACCTGAGATTACTCAGCTACAAAATTTAATGAGTACCAAGAAATTCAGGAATCAAGACTAATATTTTAACCGATGTGAAAGTTTAGATGTTATTTTGTATTTACAGGCACATGGATATCTTTAGAGGAAGTGGCAATTGACCAGAAGTTGTTTTATTGGGTTTTTTTTTTTTTTTTTGTCTTTTTCCTTTTTATCGGTACCGGGGATTGAACTCACGACTGCCTGCTTGCAAGGCAGGCACTTATGCCGCTGAGCTAAATCCCCAACCCAAGACTTACATTTTATCGCAATGTTTTTACTCATTTAATTAGCAATACAGGGAACTGAATCCAGGGTCTTCACCCTGAGCTATATCCCAACACTCTTTAAATTTTTTACCTTGAGAAGGACCTCTCGCTAAAATTGCTAAATGTCCCCTGAGAGGCCCAAACTTGCAAACCTCCTTCCTCAGCCTCCCAGAGTACTCAGATTACAGGCATGTGTCATTAAGTCTGGTTCTAGGTAATGTTTTTAAAAATAAAAAATAAGGCACAGAACGATTCCTAATTAATTACCAAATTCTACATAAAGATGAGATCAGGACTTTGCCATGCCAGCCCTTACTAGAGACTGCGGTAGGAAGGGGAAGACCAGAGACAAGGCTGTAGTTCTAATGTCTCAGTTCCTGAAAGTAAAGAGAACTCTGAAGCAAAAGGAGCAAAAGACAGGTATCTGTCTAGTATTTTCTACACTCTTAAGCACTTTTTTCTAATTAAAGAATAAAATCAAAGGCCCTGTGCAGAGGTCCTGTGTGAATTTCTTCCTCCACTGAAAATAATAATAATAGTAATACAACAGAAGTTTTTTAAAAATGCGAACTACTGTATTACCTGGCAAGCTATTTAAATAATCTTATAAAAATCCCCTCTTACCTGAAAAGTGTGAATAGTTCTTGCCCAAGCATGTTTTATGTGACAGTATTTCATTAGTTTCCTGTAATCCACAGTTACTTCCATGCCAGCCATATTACTAATAGTCAGAAATCTTCTCCTTCCAAAAGATACATCAGTTACATCCTGCCACCAAAACACAAAACACTTTGTAGTCTTCAAATATGCACACAGTAAAGAAATTCTGTCTTTTGGTTAAAAATAAAATGCACCTTTATTACAATTACAAATTTCAAGAAGCTTAGGGGTAGAGGTTTGGCTCTGTGGTAAACTGTGAATTTAGCGTGTATCAGGCCATAGGTTCTATCTCTGGCACTGCCAAAAAGAATGATAATGATGAAGTTCAAAAGCCTTAAAATCTATACTTTACTGAATAACCACACTGAAATATAAACACAAAGGTTTTCTGTCTTTCAAACTTCACAAAGTACAAGATGTGATCAAAACATAGAGTGAATGTTCACGTTTATTAAAATTTATGGCAAGAGGGCTGGGGATTTAGCTCAGCGGCATAAGCGCCTGCCTTGCAAGCATTTGGTCGTGAGTTTGATCCCCGGTACCGGTAAAAATACAAACAAAAAAAAAATTTATGGCAAGAAAAGACACAGTCCCTCTCAAAATACTGCTGTTGTTTCAAACACACTTATCACTCTTGCTGCTTTCTGAAGCAGCTCGGGAAGTGCTCTTTCATGACTCTCTTTAGTTGTGCTCACCTAGTTGTCTCAGTAACCTAAAACAGTGATGACAAAACCTTCAGAACTTCCAGTGACGATGAACAGCACCCTGTGACATACCTGCCAAGGTTCACTACCACTTTCCTAAATAGGCTCAAAATCTCACTTTTCAGGGTCATTCGGACTCCAGGGAAGAGCTAAAAGTCACGTGGTACCAGATCCAATGATTACGGTGATAAAATCACACTGTAATGTTTTTACTTGATAAAAATTGCCATTCCAGAAGCAATGTGTGCCATTCCAGGAGCAGTGTCATGATGGAGGATGAAATTATTGGCCCATGTCTCAGGCCATTCCTGCACACATCATTTCCTAAAAGTTCTAATAACACCTTACAATATTGAGAGTTCACTACTGTTTCTGGATACAAACTCAGCTCACACAATTTCATAAAGTTCAAAAAAAAGAAAAACACAATCAACATCACCTTTACACTAGGTCTTGATTGATGTGCTTTTTTCACACAAGAATTGGATGACTCTGAACCCTATCTCAGCATCACAATTACAGACCAAAGTTTCATCTTCTATGCCAACGTTTTTTTAAAAGCTAGAGTCTAAAGCAACAAGATACTGCAATTCCAGTGAAATGCATTGCTCATAATATGTGATATATAGCACACTTTAAAATGCATCTCGAGGTAAGGATTGCTGTGAGTTCACAACTAGCCTGGGCTACATAGTGAGTTCAAGGCCAGCCTGAACTGTAGAGTGAGATCCAGTCTCAATAAATAAGCAAATAAAAAATAAAACACATCTTCTCTCAACCATAGCTCACAACGGACTGCACAGAACCAGCTGAAACCAGTCACAATTACTGCTGCTTCTTGTATCAAAGATTCCTGCCTTTTTGTTCCATGGCACGTAGCAGCAGCATTCACTATGTTTTTTTACCATACCTTGTATTTTTCCACATAGTGTTTTAAGAATATTGTAAGTGTATGATGGGATCTATACAATGAGAACAAATATAAAGCAATCATTTCTATAGTTTCTGTATTTAAGCTACAACAAAAGAATCAATTACTTGCACCTTATTTTTTATGACTCAAGCACTTCAAACTTACTAAAACTGTTCCTTATGAAGTCTTTCAGGAAAATATACAAAAATACTTTCCCACTTAGTTATTCTCAATTATTCCAGCACAATTCTGATACCAGAACCAGAAATTAATAGAAAACTGCAAACCAATATTCATCATGAATATTGACATAAAAATGCTTAAAAAGAAAGCTTTGAACAAGTGTCACCCCTAGTATGATTAAATTCTGAATCAATTCTAGAGCAATAAACAAATATCCTTCTAATTGGTACACAGGTATTATTTTCTGACACTTACATTTGTTATGAAAAATATCTCTCCATTACACAGTCGAATGCCACTTTCAAGTTCATGCTTATTTTTAGTAAAATCGTGAGCAGTACCACAAAGGCCTTCAGCAGTGGCCTGTAGATCACTACGTGGCTGAGTTTCAGAGGGACTTTCAGAAAGTAAGTCTGAGAGGTATGCATTCTTGGTACAACAAATTTTATCATCAATTCCAAATATTAATCTCTTCTGATGGTCTCTAGGTTAAAAAGTAATAATACAACATCAAGCCTGGAAAATCTCAATTTCATTTTGTTTAAATGCTCACTTAGAATCCACCTAATTATCAAAATGATTTCCACACTTTCTATGTATCACTTTGGTTCTCCAAAGATTAACAAGAAATCCGGCTCTCACGCATGTCATTTAATTACTTACATATATGTTCTGAATCAGCTCAAACTCAGTGGCATTTCCCAGCTAAATTTCTTGAAGTTATCAATTCTGATATAAATGCTCGTTCTTTCCCTATTTTTAAAAGATATCAACCTTACTGATTTTTCTGCACAATTTATCATCTCTCTAATCTCTCCTAACACTATCCTATTTCAGGTCATGAAGTGCTTCCATATATTTCTATTATAGTAATTAAAATACCATCTCAGATGAGTAGCAAATTGAATAAATGATAATAATATGACAAGTTACTATGTGGTGTCTTGGATATATTACTTCACTAGATTCTTACTTCAACTCAATAAGAAAATTCTGTATAACTTTTTGGGTACGGAGGGGAAAATGCTAGAGATTGATCTCAGGGACTTACCACTGAGCTACATCCCCAGTCCTTTTTAAAACTGTTTATTTTGAGACAATTTTCCTTGGTCACTAAATTGTTCACACTGAGTTCAAACTAGCAATCCTGCCTCAACTTCCCCTAGTGCTGGGATTATATGTTGAGTATCTCCTTTCCCATACATAAGAAGTTGAAATTACCTACCCAAGATCACAGTTCCTAAGACCCTGATTGTATATCCCCAAACATAATGCTTTTTAATTCTTTGTTAGGGTATCTGATACAGGTTTTTTATTTATGTACCTTCAGCAAATAAGAGGCCTTGCATCATAGGACACAGGATGCCCACACTGAGCAATAAACATGCTAGTAAGTGCAAGATAAATAAATTTATTTCTCCTATGTATAAACAGAGTGGCTTTTCTCCACTCCAATTTCATAGCCTTTAAGGAAGGTGCTTCTGCAGGCATCCCGTTGCTCAGGTTCTTGGAAGCATATACACACATGTCATAATCCTAGAAATTCTCCTTCACTCCCATGCTTGTCTTAGAGAAGCTGAGGTTTCCAAGCTGGAAACCACAAGAGAAATATCATCCCTCATTTTTCTTCTTATTTTACTGACATACATACTTAACTGAGGAGATCAGTATATTTCCCAAATGAGGTGACCATTTTTTAAAATAGGTGATTACCAATGACAAATGTCAGAGCAAACAAAATAAAAATGAATCAAGGAGAGAGTGACCTCCAAAGTGGTAATTCTTCAAGATGCTCACCTGGTGAGATGACCTGTGTAGTGCTTACAACAGCAGTCATTGATGAGGTCACAATCTTGCCTGAAATATATGAAAATGCATGGATCACCTTAATGCTATTTGCATGCATCATCTTATAGTATGTGAAATACACTAGCCATCATAATGATATCCGTTATTAGCTCATTTGTGTTATAAACGATTATCATATCCTGAATTCTGTATGTGTCCGTGTCTGTGTCTATGTGAGTGTGCTAGTACTGAAACCAGGGCCCTGTGCATGCTAAGTAAGCAGTCTGCCAATCATAGTAGATTCTGGAAGATGTTTCCAGAGTTTTCTCCAGGAAAAAAATATTTTATAATTTTTATCTCCACATACACTTTTGTTCCACTTAGATTTCTTTTGAGTTTCTAAATATAATATTTGATACAAAGAATCCTCTGCCACGTCTAGCAAATACTGCAAAATTAACTATGAACTATGAGAGTCTCCCATTGAAATAGAATCTACATTTATCATTTTTTCATGTCTGTATTTTGTAATCTGAGCAACTACTTTGAAGATAATGATATGCAATATAGCAACTATTGTTAATCTCTTATTATGTTGTTTTAAAATTCTGCATCATCATTTTTGTGATTTTTCATTTTAAAATAAAACAGTTATGAAATTTAAAAGCTGTATCAGAAACATGAAAATTGTAAATTCTTTACCTTCTAAATGCAATGAATTGTGATGTTTTTGCATTTTTAAAGTCTTTTTCTTGCAATAAAGCTTTAACTGCAGAATACAGATCTGATAATTCAAGAGAAAAAAGTTAACACAAAAATATTTCATACGAGAAATTAATGCAGAATTCTTCACAAGGATCCCAGAGAATATATCTCATCAATTGGCATACAAATCCATTTCTTTCCCTACACAGGTTAGAGGACCAGGGAAGAGAGTACAGAACAGAGTCCAGATATTCATTGTCAATAGAGAAGTCAACCAAGGGCCAGAACAGCTCCTAATTTGCGATACACTCACCACACATTCACTGATAATATGTGAGTGCTGAATTTAAGAAATGAGAAGGCCCACAAAATATGCTAAATTCCTATTATAAAACTTTAATTCCTGTGTTACTACTAGTAATGAGTTAGAATTTGAGAATCTATATGCTTTGTATGTTCTCTCATTTAATGTTCACAACAGCCACACAAGGTAGGTATTACATCCAGAGATGATATTCATCTGCTACATACCAGTATACAATATCAAGATATTTTTGTTGTCTGGAAAATGGTCATGAATACCCTAAAACCAAAATACCCAACCAATCTCCCATTCCAACCTTTTCCTCCTTCTCCCAGACCTCCCCATGATTCAGCCACTAGAACATTAGCTCTGGCACAGAGGAGCCATTGGGGCTCATGCCTACCAGCTACTAAGCAGTTCAACCATTTATTAGGTCTACAATGTAAATGTGAAAATTAAAAATTTATGCAGCAATTTTTCAATGGGGCAGGTGGATAACTTTCTCTTTACTGATTATGTGACACACATGAACAATATCTTCCCTCACACTGGATTATGGATAAGCAGGTTTTCTCTAGTGTCATAGCAATGATACAAAAAGGTAACCATTTCTCAAGTAAAAAAGAATATTTGAGGAGCCAATCTCAGACTCTTGTGTACTTTCCTAGTAGCAGATGAATCACAGGAGAATTTAAAAGCCCAGACATTGTGATGCCCTACTCTAAGAGGGATAGGTTGCTTGCTGAGCCATTCACTCACTCATTCATTTTGATGAAGACAGGATTATCTCTAGAAAATGGCCAAAATTAAGCCTATACCCTAGCCAACCCTTCACTTGCCAAAACAATAATTTCCAAAGTTTTCCCAATAATGTTTGCATTTACACATACAGGATTGTGCTATGCTTTGTATCTTGCTTTTGCACCCTCTGTGTATCATGTAAGATCAGTATTTATTTCACTGACCCTAAAATATACATTTTAGTACCTCTAAAATTCTAGCTCAGCCATGAATCCTGTTTCAGGTCTTTATAGTTATAATTTACTTTAAAAAGTCATGTAATTATTAATAAAGAAGTACTATTTGCCTCTGTAAGGAATATTTACCCAATTTTCATAAAGAAGGAACTAATTTTCCATCAGAAATTTTTAATTAAGATATACAATCAGAGCACGATACATGCCACAGGCAGGACCACAGTGTGAAGCACCAGTAAGGATATGAGCCAGCAGTTGGTGAGTGAGGTGACTCGGTGCCATGCTCTGGCACACAGACACACAGCATGGAGGTGGGCAGGTGGGGCTACCACTTTATTTCAAAGGGCTCAGAGCAAACTCCAGCAGCACAACAGTCCAGAGTTGCTTCACCACCAACACTGCATGAGGGAAAAGCAACCCAGTCATAGTTGACTGCCAGCAGGAAGGAGCAGACTAAGGAGAATTCTACTGAGAGGCAGGACATGGAACCACTTAGATTTCTGTCCAGTGGCCACCAAAAGTCAGTCTCAGCCTTAAATCCAATGAGCTAGAAGTGGCCCCCTGGTCTGAGAGCTGGCAATGACCCAGCAGCATAAGCACGCAGGCAGTCTTGGTCTGCAGCAGAATAAGGGCAGTCCCCCTGCCAATGGCCAGCATCTAAGGAGTCAGTCAGTGGTGTAGCACAGAGGAAAATGTGCAAGGCCCAGAAGCAGCCAGTTGTACAGAGGTCTGGGAGTAACCCTAGATTTTCTCTGCCGGAGAGTGCCACAGCAACTGGAAGACTGCAGTAGGGACAATCATGGTAAGAAGTAGACATCCAGGAGGCTTAAGAGCAGTGCCAGCCCCCACATCCAGAGGCCAAGATCAGTCCCACACCCAGCACAAATCCTACTGTAAACCTGGTGGGATCACACAGCACATTTCTGGGATCCACCACAGAACTGTGGACACCAGAGGAACTTTATTATTTTTCTTTTTGTTTGTCTGATTTGCTTTCCTTTATTCTGTTGGGTTGGGTTGTTTTTTGCTTTTTTTTTTTCCTCCACTATTTGTTTCTTACCTTGCTTTTCATTTTCACCTATTCATTTCTTTCTTTCCTCAGTATCTCTCTTGATTTTATGTTATTTTCTTGTGAGTGAACACTGATCCTTCTCTTTCTCATTCACTTCAATATTCTTTTGTTTTCTCTTCTACTCTCTCTTTCCTATGTTCTCCAGCTTCCCAAAACTTGGGTGATCATCCTTTGTCTTCCAGCCCTGGTTTTACTATATCGGTCCTTGTTCTTCTCTCTATCTTGTCCCCTTTCCATCTTAAATCCATTTCCATGCAGGGTAAAATCACTCTACTAAGGTGAAAACCATTGCATACAAGCTCATGATATATATATTGGATTTTGTCATATAATTATAGAATTTGATCCTATGGTTAAAGGTATCAGGTTAATAGTTTGTCAGGAGCTGGGCTGTGCTTGTTTAGCCAAAATGTCATACCTGTTATAACAAGCTTTTCTCCCTTGCATGACAACTCTGTGATTATATGGGGTCATACCATCAACCATAGTTCAGTAGCAAAAGACTGGGTACTGGGCCAAATAGATAGTAATATCTCATCATTAATAAATTGGTTATTGAGATAAGACACAAAAATCAGGAACCACCTATACCTAGAAGACTTCCCTGAGGAACAGTCATTTCCTAAGAAAACCTCAACACCAGTGATAAAGTTATCTACCATAAAAAAAAACTATCAACACAAAAATAAAATAAAATGATAAGACACAAAAGCAAAATGAAACCCCAGACCTCCAGTCCACCCAGGAAAAGTCCAGAACACAGAGAGATAGAGGAAATTGCCAGCCATCCACTGGAACTTTCTGAAATGATAGCAACAAAAGTGAAAAAACGAATGGATGAGGCTATACAAAAAATAATCTCTGAGGTAAAAGAGGAAATGATGATCAAAATACAAAACATTACAGACACAGATTTAAAAAATAAAAAAGAAGCTTAGGAAAACAATGAAGACCAAGAATGCCCAACATTAAAAAAAAAAAAAATGGGATCCAAGAAACAGATCCAAACAGAAATCCAGGAGATTAAAAACTCCATTGAAAGTATATGAAACAGATTGAACAAAGGCAGGGATAGGATATCAGATTTAGAAGACAGAATTGCAGTTAGGAACCACAAAAAGAAAGACATTTTTAAAATAGTAAGGGGCCATGATTTTTATCAATCCAACAGCTACAAGATGAAGCAATGAATAACGTAAGACTGATTGGATTCAATGAGTAGATAGTGCAAATGCCATTTAAAAACTCACAGAAATAATCCAAAAGATCAATACCTACTCCTAGAATCTGTACTTTAATAAAATGGAAAACACAGAAGAAATGGACGGACTCCTCAATGCTTATGAACAGCCATAATTGAAACAAGAAGATACAAAATTCTAAATAACCCACTATCAGTCAATGAAGTTGAAAATCTAATTAAAAACCTACCTACCAAGAAAAGTCTAGGTCCTGATGGATTCAATATTGAATTCTACAAGAAATTTAGAGAATATCTAACCCCACTAATGCTGAAATTCTTTAATGAAACTGAAAGGGAAGTAATTATCTCCAAAATCATTCCTTCTAGGAAGAGTTACCTTGACACCAAAACCAGAAAAGACCCAATCAAAAAAGAACACTATGGGCCAATCTCCCTCCTGAACATAGACGCAGAAGTCCTCACTAAGATACAGTCAAACAGAATGTAGCAAATCATCAAAAAGATTATATACCATGACCAAGTAGGATTAATCTCAATGATGCATGTATGGTACAATATAGGCAAATCAATAAATGTAATATATCATATCAACAGAGTTAAAGACAAAAATCACATGATCATCTCAATAGATGCAGAAAAAGCATTTGACAAGGTCCAACACATCATATAGAAATTTAGAACACATGGTCTTTATCCCAACCTGATAAACCAAATCTATGACAAACCAACAACCAAAATCATACCAAATGGCCAAAAATTGAAAGCTTTGACTCTAAAATGAGGAACAAGTATGTCCATTTATCACCTCTTCTATTCAGTATAGTTCTGGAAACACTAGCCAGAGCAATTAGACAAGAAAAAGAAATAAACAAATAAAAGAAATGAAATAAAAGGGGAGGAAAGGAAAAAATTAAAGTATCATTATTTGCAGATGACATGATACACTACATAGAGACCCAAAAAACACCAACAAAAAATTATAGATTGAATAACCAAATTCTGTAGTGAAGCTGACTCAAAAATCAGTAACATTCTTATACACAAACAACACACTCACTGAGAGAGAAATAAGAGAAACCACATCTTTTAAAATAGCATCCAAAAATGAAACATTTAACAATCTAACAAAGTAAAAGATCTATCCATTGAAAATTATAGCACTCTGAAAAAGGATATCAAAAAACGGAAAGATATCTTTTACTCAAGGATAGGAAGTAAAAATGTAAATGGTCCATTCTCAAAATTGTTATACAGATTTAATGCAATTCCAATCAAAATACCACTAGCATACTCACAGAACTAGATAAAACATTCCTAAAATTCATTTGGACCAGAAGAGTCCTAGAATAGCAAAATCAATTCTCAGCAACAACAGCAAGGCAGGGGATATCACAATCCCTGATCTGAAATTGTAGTACAAAGCTACAAAATATGTTCACTGGAAGAAAGATAGCATCTTTAATAAATGGTGCTGGAAAAACTGGCTTTACACATGCTGAAGAATAAAACTAGACCCATGTCGGGGGCTGGGGGTTTAGCTCAGCGGCATAAGCACCTGCCTTGAAAGCAGGCAGTCGTGAGTTCGATCCCCGTACCGGTAAAAAGGAAAAAGACAAAAAAAAAAAAACTAGACCCATGTCTATCACCCAACACTAAAAACTAAAGTCAAAAGGAATCAAAGATTTAAATATTAAAACAGAAATAGTAATAGAAACAAGCCTTCTAAATAGGAAAGGATAGAGGGGTTGAAGGCAGGGGAGGGGATTGGGAAAAAAAAGGAATCAAAATATATATAGGTACAAATTCTCTAAGGTACATGTATATATATACACCAATAAAAGTGTACCAATAAAATTAATCAAATTTTAAAAAGATATACAATCAGCATCTGGTACACTCTGCTACCATTCTGAAATGGATAACTTTCTTTTTCTCTTTAAAGTACATTCTCATGTACATAAAGAAATGGGTGCCAGAGGCTGGGGATGCAATTCAGTGGTAGAGCACTTGTCTCGTAAATGAAAGGCCCTAGGTTCAATCCCCAGGACTGAGAAAAAAAAAAATGGATACCAGAAATATGCCAAAATAAACGAATAATATTGTAGGAAGAGCTAAATGTAGTAGTAAAAAGCTACACTTAAATGTCTAAATCTTTTTCTTCCTCTATAATACTGCCCCACATCAACTAAACTGTTGTGAGAATAAACATTAGTCATTTTTATAATATGTCTAATAAAAGCCAAGACACAAAATGATACGAAGCTTATAATCCAATTTATATAAAGCTAAAATAAATAATACATATTTACATATAGATACCGAAAGTTTAAAAGGATAAACACCCCAAGCTTACACTGGGTACATGAGCTATGTGGGGGTTTTGGAGGGGAAGAGAAAAAGAAAGATTACCAGAGAAGACTAATTTCTACTTCAAACCTTTCAGTGTCACTTAATTTCTTAAAATAATTTCAATAATTTCTATAATTAAGAAACCATGTTATATATTATATGTTAGATGGTCCCATATGTTTAAAAAATAACTGCAGCACAGCAGTGATCACTAACCCAAGGGAAGTAAAGCTGTTGAGACATGCAAAGAGAAAAATGCTTTATAATTTTCAGTTGCATGTTATTTCATTTCATGTAGAGCAAAAGTGTTTAAGTGGGGAGACTATGCCTTTGCAACTGTGGCAATTATAATAAATCCTCAGGAATAATCTTTTATGTCTTAACTGAGTCCATTTTGAGTAAATTACACTAATTTTTAAAAGTATGCTGTCAGTGTTTAAAGCAATAACTATCATAACACATTTACTCTATTTACATAAATTTGTTTGCAATAGCTAATTTAATGATATCTATAATTCACACAAAATTAAAGCTTACTCTGTGCCTCATAACAACAGTGCCCTCAACACTCACAATAGGGCCACAGAAAATACCACTGCGATTCCCATTCCCACTGACATGGCGTCAGTCATGTGCCTGAAGAAACAATTCCTAATCCCATTCTTTCTCAGCCCTGTCAGGTTGTCAACACAGCACCCATAATTAGAAACAATGCTTGCCCGTTTTATAAAACAAAATTATCAGGAACTCAACAAAACAACAGTTTGACAACTATAACTTTTGTTTCACAAATGTACTCAATGTATTTGCTTTTCAAATTGCTCCAGAAAATTTTCATTAACTAAAATTTGCTCTCACTGGGGTGAACTTGCTTCATTTTAAACAAAAGTTCCTACATCTGTTTATTAATTTGACAGGTATACACTGCATCCTTACTATGGCTTGAAGAGCACATTTCTTTACAAACTTCTAAGGACATCTTGGTTTTGAAGATTTACACATTTATTTATACACTTATTCATTCATTCGCTCATTTTCAGTGACCCTTTTTTACTAGCAATATTTACCTTCTCCATCAATAAAGTGCAAACAGCCATTTACAAATGAACTTGTAACTAGTCATTTAATAACCCCATTACAAAAGTGAATTACTTAACCTGATATATCATAGAAATTTATACTTACGTGACCTATGATCACTTTTAGATGACTGAGTACTGGTATCCTCTTCTGGAAGTCTGACAAAAATGAATCTCTTATCTTGAATTGACATAGGGAATGTAGAATTCTCACAGATATTTAGTTCTAAATCAAATCTTGGAAGCTGGCGTTCTGAGATTCTTAAAGATAAAATACAAAACTAAGAGTATTAGCATCTAAAAATGTCTTTCCATATAAAAACAGTATAATGATTAACATGTTAATAGATAATAACTGGGGAGAAAAGACCACCCAGATATGAATTATATACAAAATGACTTTTATAAAATAATTGAGAGACCAGGAAGTCATGGTTAGTTCCCTCTTTCTAGCAAATTAGAAGAATTTAAAAAAATAAAAGAATAAAAAAGAATTATCAGAGAAAATACTATGCATCATTCTGAGAACTTGACCTACTTATCTCCAGGCCACTGAAGAACCATGAAAGGTAGGTATAATCCTTGTTTCATAGGTAAGCAATATGAAGCTTCGATTTTTGCCAAACAATAATTGAAAGAAAAGAAAAAAAGCGGAGAGAAGGCTGGAAACCTATCAGAGTTCATTTCTAAAGCTCTGAGAATTGTCTTGGATTTCCTGTTCTACTTCTGACCCAGGACGTGTAGTATGTTTCTCTTTAGCAATTTATCCCCTGAATGTTACAGAGATCCTCAGAATCTGTATTACTTGAGATGGTGATTAAAATAAAAAGATGACAGGAGCACAGCTTGAGTCCAGTGAAACTGAATGGGTTACTAAAGGGAATTTCTGAGTTTCTATAAAAATGATACCTAAGCAATCTTGATTCTTCCAAGTTTAAGAAAATCTAGTGGGATGAAGTGGTGCATATCTCTAATTCCAGCACTCAGGAAGGTGAGGCAGGAGGATTGCTGTGAGTTTGAGGCCAGCCTGGGCAACAAAGTGAGTTCAAGGCCAGCCTGAACTGCACAGTGAGACCCTGTCTCAAAAACACAAAGACAGACTGAGACTGAGACAGAGACAGAGACAGAGATTTTAAAATGACCAATTATCTATAAACAAGAGTTATAGGAAAAGAATTGTATGCATCCAGATCCATTATTTTTAATGTCTTAGAATAAAGCTACATCATCTACCCTATTCCCATCAACTCCTCCCCTACTCCCACCATCCTGTGAAGTGTAAAATGGGGCACAGAGAAAAAAGATTTTGGTTGTTTAAGTTTTTGCTGACATCCAACCAAGGAAATATTCCGGTAACAAGCATATTATGTTAAAAAAAAAAAAAAGTCAAAAGCAAAAGTGAATCTTGACACACTAAAAGTCATGAAATAGTAATAACTGTTCTGATTTTTCTGATGTGTTCTCTATTTTCTGATTCATAAATTATGGAGAAGCTGAATGCATGCACCCCCAGACGATCACTCCAAAGGCAAAGGCTGAGGGAAGAAAAAGAAAGACTCCTCTGCTTTAAAAGGTGTACATTCCATGGGTGCCAAGGATTCATCCAGGAGTGCAATAATATTATTTAATTTTTTTGTGTGAGCTGTCTCTGACAAAAATTAGGAGAAATTTCCTTCCCAATGCTCTGCTGAATGAGAATGAAAATATTTCCAAATATGTGGTCCCCCTGGGTTTATTTCAATTTCTAAGCGTAAGGCCACTTTATTCATATGCAGTTACCCCTTGTCAGCAGTGAAGGATTGGCTACAGAACTCCCCATAGTAATCAAAAATTTCAGATGCTCAAATCCTTTACATAATAGAACAGCATTTGTATATAATCTATACACATCCTCTCATATTTTAAATCATCTCCATATTTACATATAATAATATATGCTATGTAAATTATTATTATACCACACTGTTTTTTAAAAAAAAGTCTATGCATGTTCAGAAGAGATGCAATTATTAATTGCATCACTCCACAGATGTGGACCTCACACATACAGTTGGTGGAATGCACACCAACTGTATGTGCATTTTGAATCGGAAAACACATCCATTCTTAAATTTCAATAGTAATTTATGCTGGACCAGAAATGAAAATACTACTGCATTTTTCTAAATGTGTGGAGAGAAAGAACAGGTTTAGGAAAGAACAGGTTTGCTAACAGATATAATAAATATATTGTACTAACTCAATATAATTTAAAAGCTAATATACACACACACTGTAATTTACTTTTTATTTCTAATACAACAGAGACAACATGCAAAATTTTAGCGATAGTATACCGTGTAGCATTGTCCACAATTAGCTGAGATTCTGCTCTGTGGTTTGTCTTTAGCTCAATAGCACATTTTCTTGACTTAAGAGTATCAAAAAGATCTTTCAATAAGTTTCCAGGTTCAATACTGGGTAGTTGTCTAATATCTCCTGAAAGGAAAAAAAAACAAAGATATGGCGGATAGTGGAGACACTAAAATTTGGAAATTATCTTTTGTGCATGTACTTACATATCTTAACTTTTTGTACCCCTTTCCCTCCCGTCCCTCCATCCTCCATTTCTATATCCCCTTCCCATTTGGAAAGCAACTATCTCCCCATTTACTATTGAACTATTTTTTATTTCATTTTTTAATTCATTATACTTTGTGCATTTTATATTTGAGAAGCTGTACAATATTTAAGCTTGCATGTCTACTTCATTTCACTGAACATTATGGTCCCAAGGTGCATCCACTGTCCATCTTTAAGTTTATTCTGCAGAATGCTACTTCACTTTGTTAAGTATCATCTCCATGATTTAAGTATTATGAACTGTGCTGCACTAAACAGGTATGCATATATCACTGTGGTGTGATGCGTTAACTCTTTGGGGAGGCTCCTGAAAGGGGAATAGCTGGGCCAAAGGAAATTTCTATTTTTAATTTTTGAGGAATCGCTACACTGACTTCAATAGTGGTTGCACCAGTTTACATTCCCACCAACAATGGAGAAGGGTGCCTTTTCCCCTGAAGCCTCACCAGTATTATTATTTTTGTATTTTTTTATATCAGTACATTTGCAGGACATGCAGTTTACAATCACCTTAGGGAGGGGGTACATATACCAAATACAACTTGTCCCTTTTTGGGTTTTCGATAATAGCCCTTCCTGATGGACAGAATGGAATCTCAGTTTTTTTACTGTGTTCTATGTTTGTTTCCTTTTTAGTTTATTAGTACACATGTGTAGTACATAATGTTAGTGTTCACTACAGGAAGTCGGTGCATGTTCATAATGCACCTTATTTCCCTTTTCACCCCTTTTCCCTTCCTTCCCTCTCTCTCCACCCAGCCCTTGACTCCTTCCTTTTCTCCATACATATTTATAGTAATAATGTTTACATTCTTGGCGTGGAGTTGGCACATGTACATAACACATCCTGACTCTTTTTCACCCCTTCCCGTTCCTCCCATCCTCCTCCCTCCATTTCTTGATCCCCCTTCTCACTGAAAATGACCTGTCTTCATTCTATTACCTATATTCTATTTGCTCTTTGGTTTTTCTGAGTTTCTCATATAAGAGAAAGAATGTGATATTTAAACTTGTGATTATTTCAGTTGTTCATTGTTTTGATTCCGTCTTTATTTTGTGAGATTTGATTTGTTAAAATATCTGTTTTTGTTTTTGTTTTGGTACTAGGGATCAAACTCACGACCTCACACTTCCAAGCAGGCACTTATGCCACTGAGCTAAATCCCTAGCCCTGTTAAAATATCTTTATACGGTCTAGATTTAGCATTCTATCAGAGGAGTAGTTTAAAAAATTTCTCATTCTGTAAGTTGTCTCTTCACTCTATCATTCCCTTTACGGTACAGAAGTTTTAATCTGATATAATCCATTTGTGATTCTTGATGCTACTTTCTGTGCAACTGGGGTCCTGTGTAGAAAGTCCTTTCCTGTGCCTATGTCTTCAGAAGTTCTTTCTTATTTTTCTTCCGTGTTTCTTCAGTGTTTCTGTTTCAGCATTTACGTCTTTGACCTACTTTGATTTCATCTTGGTATACGGTGACGATGTGGGTCACACTTAATTGTGTGTGTAACCAGCTTTTCTAGCACCATTTCCTAAAAGGGCTTTCTTTTCTCCAGCATATGCTTTTGGCTCTTTTGTCAAAGATCAGATGACTTTAATGTGTCTGGGGTTGTTTCTTCATCTTCTATTCTGTTCTATTGATCTTCATCTCTGTGTTGGGTGGAGGGTCTGGACTCATACCCACAATCATTTTTGGTACTGGGGGGCACTGCCAACCACTGCTGGGTCAAATCTTTCAGTGGTGAAAGGTCTAGCCTAACTATCATGGCTGTCCTTCCTGTTTTGTTTTGTTTTGTTTTGTTTCATTTGTGAGACAAGGTTTCATTATGTAGTTTAGGCTGGCCTTGAACTTGCTTGTATAGCCCAGGTTGGCCTCAGACTCACAGTGACTTTCATGCCTTGGCCTCCCAAATGCTAGGATTACAGGAGTGAGCCACCACACCCAGCTGCATGTCTGTCTTTTTGTGAGTTTCATGCTGGTTTTATCACTGTAGCTTTGCAGTATACTTAAAATCCAGATTGTGAAGCCTTCTGCTTGGCTCTTGCTGTCCAGGATTTCTCTTGTAATTTCTTCTGGCTCCACATAGATTGTAGGGTATTTTTTTTTTTCTAGTTCTGTGACGAATGCTGTTCCCTTTTCATTGGGAATGCATCACATCTACATCAATTGTGATAATCTGGTCATTTTGACAGTACTGGTTCTGCCTTCCCAGGAGTCTATCCATTTTCCATGCTCTTTGATCTCCTCCAGAGTACAGTGATTTTCACTACAGAGGTCTTTCACTTCTTTGGTTATTACTAAGTATTTAATTTTCCTTGACGTTGTTGTATTGCTTTCTTAATTTCTAAGTGAGTTAATTATTGGCATACATTAGAAATTCTTTTAATTTTTCCCTATAGATATATGCTATAATTTTAGACTTGCCATATCATTTTGCAGGGGGCGGCAGAATTTTTTTAATTATTCAAGAACACTAAGTACTTACAAATACTTAACAAGAAAAACATTCAAATTAAACAGTATATTTTTAAATCGTGAAAACACAGTAAGCTAAGAATATGTGAACTGAACTTTTTTCCTATTTAGAACCACAAGTAAACCATGTAGGGGCATATATTTTAGCCAACATGCTTTTAAAAATTGGAACTTAGTACATAGTATTTAGTCACTTATTCAGTTTTTCTCAATGTGTTACTGAACCTGAGCTTATAGCCTCAACTAGATAAAATAAATATATGAAACATAAATATACATAATTCATTTTAAATAAACAACTCCCTTTGTTTGCTTGAAACAAACAAAAACAAGCCCCAGAGGTAATAACAATAGGCACCGAGTGGAAACAAGGGGAATGCTACCAATAAAATCAACTGCTTATTAAATATCCCCAGATAACTTTAAAAAATAGTATTTATTGTCTGATCATAATTTGATATAAAATTTGACTTGAAGATTGCAATTTCAATTCCTCTCCATTAAATTACATGATCTACATGTCACTATAACCCCCTTCAAAAAAAAATTAAGAAATTCTTATCAGAATAAAATCTTAAGAGGTTGGTGAGGTGTCATTTGAATTACTAGCTTTGAACCATAAAATTACTTCTAGTCAATGTGTAATTTGTATTTTTTTACTATCTGCAAATGGTCTACATCCTAATTTATTCTGTCTGTGATACTTTTACTATTTTAGTAGTCACCATTTAGGTAGTTGGCAGTAATCCTGTTAATATCCTGGCCAAAATAGATCCACTGAAGCTGATTAGGACAGTGGTCAGACTTAACTCAGTATAACTTTGGCATGAGTTCAGAGAATACTTTTCTACCTTTAGGAAACAGTACCATGAAATTATATCAGCAACCTACTAAGCACAAGATTTTCAACTAAATGTTAGTATTCCATCAATATTTTCACTTACCAAGGATAATAAGCTTAGAAAGTTTGGAATGCTCACACAATAACTTTAAAACTGATTTGAAGATTGCTACAGATACCAAACTTCCTTCATCTACAACCAGAACTCTAACAGAAGAAAATCTCCATGGCAAATTCTTCTTTTCCAGATTTTGTTTCCAAAAATAGAAGGTATAATTGACCTATAAGCAAAGTAAGACATTTCTAAAGTCAGGTTACAAAAAATAATTAGCTACACATTATTTTTAAATAAAATTCTTGCACTTGGGGTAGGGAGTGGTGGGGAGTACAGAAACCCAAAAACAGTCAAAAGACTCTTCTACCATAAAGCTATACTGAACTCTTCTTGGTCTCCATTGATTCTTGTGATAAATAAAAATAATGGCAAAACAATTTTTACGTAGCTGGAGGCTCTATGAGTCTCCTTAGAACTACTTTATCATGCTTTCCTGCTTATGAAACTAAAAGGTTCCCTAGTAAATCAATGTCAAGTTGCACCATTAGTTATGCAAGATCTGTGATAAATGAGGAAATTGTGGCATAATGAAAAAATAATAAGCTGGGAGATCAGAAATCTCAAATTCTAGTTCTGAGACTAACTTAGCTTTTAACCAGTGGCTAACCCCCCCCCCAGCCCCCAGCTGGCTCTTCTATTAAAGGAGGATAATATCATCTACTACTTTACAGGCTTATATTTAATTAGATAATATCAAAAAAGTTTTACTAACTTTAAAGTTGGAATTCCTTTAAATTCCTAAATCCATTAATTTCCATTTATACAGACTTCACTGCAATCAATAAAATCACCCCAAGATTTGTGTACACATTGTGATGATTCTCCTCAGTGTCTCTAGAAAGGCTTTCCCCTAAATAAAATTGCCCTTCTCCTTACCCAACCACTGTGGCTGATAGAGTCTTTTGGAGACTTTCCAGCTACTAAGTTCCTTTATTATACAATGGCAGTGCCATACAACTCTACAACTCTATACAAGTTTAAACTGTTACTCTTAATCACAGACAACAATATTTTTTCAAGCATATTAGTTCATTTGAAATATACAGTGTGTGACTACATGCCTGACACTGTTCTAGATAGAAAAGATAACAAACCACATCACATGACAAAGCCCTCAGCTCTGCAGAGTTTTCATTCTACGAAATACAAATCTTTTTCTTCTCTCTCCAGTGTTACTCAGAATAGTCTTTGGGCTTATTACATACTTGTAACCAGTCCCCATGAGAAATCAATATTGAGCCAGGATCTAAATTAACTAGATTATTAAGTATGCACTCTCACTTACCTACATGTTTTTCATAAGAATTTTCTCAGTGAAGAAAGCTATGTACTGATTCACTTACTGGGACCAGCATCACTATCACTGCAAACTAGTAGAGTTTACAGTCCAGCTGTTTGAATAAAGGGATCTAAATGATTATATAGAGGCCCCCCTTAACCACTAGGAACATGTTCCAACATTCCTCGGTGGATGCCCAGCCCCACAGAGTATCAAACCCTATATGTAAGCACTATGACGCTGAAACAATCTAGTAACAGAGACAAATAAGGAGGCAGTGCGTTTAGGATGGATACACTGGACAAAGAGATGTCTCCTGTCCTAAGTGGGGCAAGGTGGGATGACATGAGATTTTAGTGTTCATTACAGTACTGAGAACAGTGTGCAATTTAAAACTTGGGAATGTTTACTTTCCACTTACGATTTTCAGATTGCAGTTGACAGCAGGTTAGTGAAAATGCAGAAACCAAAACTGCCAGTGAGTGGGAATGTTGTGCCTACCAGCTGTTGAAGTAAGCATAAGTTTATCCGCAGACAGAATGCCAAAGGTTTTACCTGACACAGTGTATAAGCAGGCAGGCCCGTTTTCTCTCTCAGTAAACCAGCTGCTTTCCCTGTTGGTGCTGTAAGCAAAACTTCCACAGGCTTGTCCACTCCCATTTGACTTTGTTCAATAAATGTGGTCCACTCTTCCGGGACATCCTGATCCTGTTCAAAATCCTCACAAGCTTTTCGCACTTCCCTTTCTTCTAACTGGCCAACGTAGTTAAAAAGTTGGCTAACAATTGTGGTCTTCCCACAGCCACCCTTCCCACTAATGACTGTCACAGCATTGGAGCAGATCATTTCCAAAGCAGCCACTTGATCATGATCCAGCTGGATTTCATTCATTTCCGCATTAGTGCCATTTTTATCATCCCAAGTAGGACCATCACTGTCCTGTAGTTCTAAAATGTCTACAGAATTTTCTAATATTGTTTCATCAAGTTTACTTTCCTTCAGTGCGTCCTCACTTGAGTCCTTGGGTTTTGTGGTGTGAATAGAGGCCAGCACCTCCCTGACATCGACATGCAAATGCCAGGCAGGTCTCTTCATGAGGTCATTTATTAAAGAGGCAATGCTTTTTTCTGCCTGGTAAAGTTCATAAAGAAAGATACAGCCCTTCTGAAATATTACCACACCGATATCCTTCAGAAACTTCAGACATTCCCAAACATCGTAAGAATGGCATTGTAAAGTTAGGGACACTTGTTCAACATACGTGTGCCCATCTTCCCTACACATGTGCTTCAGTTTAGAATACAGATCCAGTGCATTTTTCTCTACATCAGCCATCAAGCAGAGAAGAGACGGGCACTGACAGAACGCGGCCCAACTGGCCTCACATCGCAAAAGCTTCAACTCTCTGTAAGTTATCTGTAAGGAAATACAGTGCAAGTTGCTTTATAAATATCACAAATATTAACAAATATGATTACAATTACAATAAAGTTATATATTTTTAACAAGTCCCATAAAATTTGTATTTCAATTAAATTTTTAGGGAATTTACTCATATACTGGGTATTCCCTCACTCAATGATCTGTTTAACGACTACTCAGACTTATGACAAAGTCATGCTATTTGGAAATACCTACCGCTCCAACTCATGACCCATCTTTTTTTTTGAACAGTTGTGTACACCTTGTTACAGAGTCTCAGTGTGTTTTTTATACAGTATTCCCTGCTTATACCACACTTCACTGATTGTACTGTACAGCGTTACAGTTTCATGTTCTGTTATACATTATAGCATTGCATGTAAGAGTTTTACACATAAGAGCAAAATCACCAAGTTGGTGTGTCTTTTGACCATTTCTTCATTCTGAATATTGTACTGTACGTAGTATATACAATTCCTCACTTAGCCACAAATGCATTTAACTTCCTAGTTGCGTGAACTGAACTAGGCTGTTAAGTGAGGAATGTCTGTAAGTATAACACATTATTAAATTTTTACATAATTAATTCTTGAAATATGAACAGATATAGTTCTTTAGATATGTAAAGCTCTCCTTTTAGTATCATCTATTTAGAAAGAATGTTACAATTCACAGGGATTTTTTTTAAACCATAAGATAAAACTATTGTCTGACATCACAGATGTCTGTTTCTTATCTCCTTGGAATAAATATATGATACAGTGACATTTCATAATCCAATCTCTCAAAGTATAGAGAATGTACAATTGCACTATATAAGGAACAAACTGTTCAGTGTTCTGTAAACTAGATACTGTAAATACTTTTTTAGTCCAACAATTTTCATAGTACATCTCAATACTTTTTCACTTGGAAAACTGCCTTTACTCAAGTATTGTACTGCTAAGTTCTCAGTACCATATTTGGTTTCAAGATCAGAAGTCTCAGGCTGATTTTCCTACTTTTGGTCTCTAATAACAGGAACAGAAGTAGACTCAGTTATAAAGGATGGCATGATGCCATCCTAAAAATCAAATATCATGATATTCTATATAAATAATGACAGGTTTTAAAAGTTCATATTGGAAAGTATGAATCTGCATTGCATAGCAGCAGAAAGTACTTACCAAACTCATAAGAAACTTTGTTATCATAAGATCTCTACTCAAGTTACAAATAACAATTTAGTTGCAGAAAAATATTTGTCATATTAAATTAAATTAGGTAATTGTATTGTGATAATCTGAATATTATTTATTATTTTGGTTTTCATTTATTATATCTATTTACTTTATAGCCACACACAGACAGAAAAAGTTTGCATGTATTTACTTGTGATACTCCAAGAAAAGTAAACACTAGGAGGATCCATACAAAATTTTTTTTTCAAAAATTTTTTCAAAATTTTTTTTTGAAAGAGATGCAAAAATTATCAAATTTAGCCAAACATGGTGCTTGATATCTGCAATCCCGTACTCAAAAAGCTGAGGCAGGAGCATCACCACAAGTTCAAGGCCAGGCTGGGCTACATAGTGAGTTCAAGGCCAGCTTGAAACACAGAGTTAGAATCTGCCTCAAAAAACAAAACAAAACAAAAAAATTGTCACATTGAGAAACTCTTGCCTTATACATTACTGAACAAATATCTCACTTACGTTACTAAATCCCAGCTTCCATGGCTGTGTCCCTAAAATTTTTTCGATTGCTTCCAATACCTCCTTAGAACCTGTGTTGATAAGCTGGTTAAAGTATCGAGGCAAAAGAACTGGAAGGAACTCCATGATTTTTGGAAAGTGCAAAGCTGTCATGACATTTACAAATGGAACTACAGAAAACAACAAATGAAAACATAAAACTTAGTTCACAGAAGGAAATACTTTGCCATTTAGCAAACCTGTTCAAGGAATACAAATTAAAGAGATCAATAAATTTAAGGAGTAAGAAAATTGATACCACAACAATTATTTTTGTATGAAGTGGTTTTCATTGTTTAACATTGAAATGTATGTCCTTTATATGCCTTCTATCGAGATGTCTTAGCCTTTTGGTTCCTTTCATACCCAATATAATCAGAATAAAAATTTTAACTCAATTATATAAAAATAAATTTAAACCTAAAAATAACAAACAAATCATTTATGTACTAACCTTCATAACTTTTTCCAACTGTAATTCTGAATAATTTTCCCTGGTCATTTATTGATGTATTGGTAAATTTATCTCATATAACTAAGAAATCAAATACTTTATACATGTATCTGAATTTCCAGATGACAATCCATATTTTAAAATTATTTTAAATGATTTTAGATTGAAATCTTTCCAAAGTGGATTGCTCTTTAGCCTTGTCTTTCTCTTCTTTCTTCTTCTTCAAAAAAATTGAATTCTTAATGGTTGAAAATACTCTCTATACACATCAACATCAGGAAGAGAGATACAGAATTACAATTTTAGCTACAAAGGAAATGGATGTATCTTTAAAGAGTGCCTTATACAATCCTTTCATGTTAGAATGAGGAAAAATTGAAACCTCTGTGACTTACTCAAAAAGCAACATAAATACATTTTAGTCAAACTGATTTTAAAAAGAAAACAGGTCGATTATCTGAAATGCTTGGGACTAGAAATATTTAGGGTTTTTCATTTTTTTAGAATTCAGATATTTTTCATATATAATGAGATACTTTGAGAATGGGACCCAAGTCGATATACGAAATTCACCTATTTTTCAACTGTCCTATGAACAAATACCCTGCAGATGGTTTTACACAATACTTTGGTAAGTTTGTCCATGAAACAAAGTATGTGTAAACTGAATCATCAGAAAGTGTCACTTTGTAGCATCAATGTTTAAGATCAGAAAGTTTCAAATTTGGAACGATTTCGAATTTTCAGATGAGAGATGTGTAACCTATGCTGTGCCAAGATGCGATAATGGTAATATTTTAAACACTCCAGCCATTAAAAATTTCAGCGATACTAAACTCATACTTACTTTTGTTTTCCACAGGAAGGCTTATCTCACTTTCTGGTAACTCTTGCTGTTCACTTTGTCCAAATTGCTTTTTATCTTTTTTTCTGATTTCCTTGTAAAACGTTCTTAATGTTTCCTTAAGATTTTCAAAGCTTAGGTCTTCATAGCTTGATACTTCTTTCACCCATGCTAAAAACTGACTTACTACCTCACTGGGGACCCCACACTCTTTAAGAAAGAGAGAACAGATAGTTTTTTGATGAGGTGGTGACATATTGGACTGTAGGAAGTATGATGGAAATCCTTGAACTTGATAGTTCCTTGATCCTGCAGGCTTTACCTGTACCTTCACTCGCCACCAAGGACCCTTTATGGGGAAACGTCCAACCACTTTACATTGCTTTTGAGTGCTTTCATCGTGAATTATAACTGAGAAAAAAAAAGAAAAGAAGCTAATTTAGGATATTAAAAATGTTCTTCCCCAGTGTTTATCATACCCACATTCTAGTCACCTCATAGCACCCTAAACAGACATTTACTGGGGTACCTTAATGCTTCATTCTGTCTACCTGTTTATCTGGCTCTCTCTATTAGCATGCTAAGCTGTCCATGAGAGGACAAAGCTTCATTTGTCTCTGTCGCCCAAAAGGAAAGCACAGTGTAGGGCAAGTATCTGCTGTTCCCCTCTGAAATCAGTTTTCTCTTTGCTACTCTAACCTCAGCCAATACTGGTTTTTGGCCAGTTCTTAAAAAAACATTCCATAGTGCCTCTGACCACAGGGCCTTTGCACAAGTTGTTCAGAGGGAGTAACTGTTTTACCATTTTACTCCCTTCACCTCAGCTTTTACTTTGTCACTTTCTCAGGATAGTCTTGCCTAAATCTTCTGAACAGAATCTGACAAACCATTATCTAATATTCCTTATAGCTATCTCTCTCAATAAAGAATATCTGTTTACTCACTAGAGGGAGAGCTTCATTAAGGCTTTATTAAGATAGCAACCTCATGTTTTCATCTTCCTGAGACATCCTTGGAACATGACAACTAGCTGATGGTACTTCAGAAAGAACAACTAAACTCTCCACAAACACTCCCAAATTTTCTATCTAATTCTGCACTGTCTTCCTGCATATAGTTATTTACACCTAAATTTAAATGAAGTAATAAAATTCAGGTCCTCAGCTGCACTAGCTTTGTTTCAAGTTCTAAATAGCCACACATGTTGAGTGGCTATTGCACTGGACAGTGCAAATATAAAACACTGCTGTCACCATGTGCAGTCCTACTGGACAGCACCGGTCTGCACATTAAAACTGTCAGATTTCCAAACTAGATCCTGCTCAGCTGGGAAAGAAAAACTTCCCAAGCAGATCTGTTATTTACACCTGCAGGCACACATTGTTTAGCAAGAAGTCAGCAGCTTCCCCACACAGCTCAACCTGCAGACAGGTGATTCCACAAGAGACATGCTGTGCCTGCCAGCATCCTGCAAAACCCAACACCGCCTTGTCTATCAGCTAGCCCTAGATCGCCTACTCAGACATTCAAAATTTTGCAAACCTCTCCCCGTAATGCCCCCTTCCTTATCTAAACTCCCCTATAAAACATGCTCCTGCCTCTTGTTTGGGGCTAATGGTCTTTCCCCCTTGGCCCAGCTGCACTCTGTCTGCAATAAATCTGTCACACTGCTTAAACTTAAACTCTGCCTGCTTCAGTGTTCACAACTGTGCCTCAGGTCACCCTAATGTATGGTGCCAAACCCAGGAGGTTGAGCTCCCCTCCTAGGATGGTCTGACCTCCCTCTGGACCCCACTAGGGCACACTGAGACTACCTTTGACATTTGCCCTCTGGCCCTTATCACTGCAACTTGCTGCTAGTCTAGGTCTCCTCCTCAGGTCAGGTGGTATCATTTGCATCCTGTCACCTCTCCTGTCACTGTCACTTGTCTCCCCTCTCCTCCTCACTCTAAGTTATTTTCTAGTCACAGTCACAGCCCCAAACCCAGTACTGGTCACACTCACCCCAGGGAGCCTGACTCCCGGACAGCTGTCCATCCCCTCACTTGGCCTCAAGAAACTGACTGGAGATGTCCCTCCTCTTTCTTGAGTCACCCCCTTTGGCTTGTGACTAAAGCCTCCATGGGCATGTGTTCTCAGAAACCTCACACCTTACCTTAACACCAACCTGAAGCCACCAAAACATCCACCTGCTTCCATAACATGGCATGGCATGGACAGATAATGGCTCCCAATGGCCACTCCACGGCATGTTTGATTTTTCAGTTCTCTGAGACCTTGACAATTATAGTCGTAGGCTGGAGAAATGGTCTGAGGTCCAAATGTCCAGGCATCTTCTGCTCTCTGCAGAGTCTCCTCCCTCTGCACGTCCTGCGACCCTGCCTCGCTCCCTCTCATTTCCACATCCCCAACTACCCCGTCTCTGCCCTCTCCTGACTATGAACTGACCTTCACTGCTGATCCCTCTGCCCTTGCCCCTCCGCCATCCTCTTCTACCTGCCACCTCCCTCCTCCAGTTGGGGTCCCGCTGGCTGCCACTCAACTGGCACTGTCTCCTCCCCCATCGGATTCCCCAGCCTCAGCGCAGAGGGCACTGTCCAGGTCCATGTTCCCCTGGGCCATCACAGCCACGGAACTTCAGGTAAATCTTGAGGTGGAAGGTAAAGCTATTTCATTCCTAGGACATAGGGGCGACCTATTCCACCCTTCCAGGATAGCTCCTTTTGGCTGACAGTTCTGTAGCAGGGATTGATAGCACCGTATCTCCCAAGACTCCTCCACGGCTCTGCCAGCCGCAGAACCACATATTCTCACATGTCTTCCTGGTGCTCACAACCCACCCCATCCCACTCTAACTATCCCCAGTACCAACCCATGCCTTGTTGCCCTCCTGCTCTCCCCTTCTCACTCCTCCCCTACCACTCACCCATAGAGACAAAAGACAATGGGCATCCCGCTTGGAAACACAACTGCCTGCCCCTCTTACATACCAGGCTCCTCCCTCACACCTCAGACCTTCCTATAGGATCCCAAAACACACCTGGTTCATGGACAGCAGTTCTTGCAAAGCCTCAGCCCCTTGTGTGGCAAGAACACAATGCTATAGTTACAACTGGCATAGTAATAAAGCGCCAGGCCCCACCACCCCACCACCACCACCACCTCACAACAGGCTGAACTCACTGCTCTGACCTTATCCCTCAACCTGAGGAAAAGAAAGCAAAATTACTATCCACACAGACTCAAAATATGCTTTTCAAATCCTTCACAACCATGCAGCAATATGAGCTAAAAGATGATTTCTTATCACCAGAGGATCCTCACTATCAATTCACATTTAATAAAGGCACTCCCAGAGACCGCCCTCCTGCCCTCCCAGGACTCACTGTAAGGAACATCTAAAACCCACAGACCTCACAGCACAAGGAAACTCTTTTGCAGACCAGACAGCCAAGAAGGCTGCCGACTCCACCAGCATCTCACCCCCAGGACCAATACCTTCCCTGACAGGCATCACCCCAACTATCCCACAGAAAAAAGTTTGTAGGGTCAGACACTCCCCACTGCAGAAGGGCGGTTACTTGACCAAGAAAAATACCTCCTTTCTGCCTCTTAAACCTACCGGATTCTCTCCTCCCTCCATAATAGTTTTCACATAGACTACAAACCCCTTACGCTAGCCCTTCATTTCAGCCCCCTCCCAGAAGGCTACACTAAAACAGATCACCACACACTGCCCAGTCTGCCACTCCATCTTCCGCCGAGGTGTCCTCTGTCCCACCCCACCCCCCAACACAACCCATCAAGCTGGCAAATTGACTTTACATATATGCCACAAATTTAAAAACTCAAGAATCTCCTAGTCTAGCTGGACACCTTTACAGGATGCACTGAAGAATTCCCCACCACCTCTGAAAAGATTGAAGCAATCCTACAGAGCTGCCTGTCAAATATCCCCAATTAGGTCTTCCTTAATCCAGTCAGATAATGGGCCAGCTTTTACTAACCAAATAACCCTAGAGGTTTCCAGGTCTGTCAGGGAAACTCCACACCCCTCAGCCCCTAGTCCTCAGGAAAAGTAGAAAAAGCCAATAACCTAATTAAGAAGTAACTCACTCATGAAACTCTCCCTGCAACTAAAAAGAGACTGGATATCCCCGCTCCCTGTTGCTCCCCTCAGACTCAGGGTAGCACCCCCATGAACCCACAGGCTACAGTCCCTCCAAACTGTTATATGGATACTCCTTTCTTCTGGGCCCCTGCCTAAACACATCCGGGTCTTCTGGTTGTGTGGAACTTCCTCTTAGCTGTCTGCACACAAACTGGACTGGAACATATGGGGAGGAGGCTTCTTCCAAGCTGGCTGGACATCCTGGTTTCCCCTCATACGCAGGCCTCTGGTCCCAGTCTCTCTGCTGTTATTGTTTGAACCCTACATAATAATAATAAGACTCTTAACAGATTTCATCCAAGGACAGATCCAGTCCCTGACATCCAGACAGCTCTTCTTCATGGCCTGTTACATCACTGTCCCAAGGAATCCCGAGCTGAGCCATAACAAGAACCAAAGATCATCAGGCTCCTAGCACTCCATTGCCTCGCTGGGACCCGATACCCTGTCATTTCACCACTAGCTTAGCCCCTAGTCCTCTTTATTTATTAATTTATTTATTGTCTCTCTTTTCTAGGATGCCTAAGCGGCCCCCTCAGTCATGTCTGAAGCAGTCCTGAGAAACTACACCCCCATCCCTCTTCTTTTTCCATAACACAACAGACAGGAATATCAGGTCTCCAAACTAGAACCGCTGCCCAGCTAGGAGAGAAAAACTTCCCAAATAGATCTGTTATTCACACCTGCAGGCACATTGTTTAACCAGAAGACAGCAGCTTCTCCAAACAGCTCAACCTGTAGACAGCTGACTCCACAAAACACAAAACATCACAAGAGACATACTGTGTCTGCCAGCATCCCCCTAAACCCAACATCGTCTTGTCTATCAGCTAGCTCTAGATCCCCTACTCAGAGACCCAAAATTTTGCATCCCTCTCAGGAATGCCCCCTCCCTTACCTAAACCCCCCTATAAAACATGTTCGCCTCTTCCTTGGGGCCAGTGGTCTTTTCACCCTTGGCCCAGCCACACCCTGTCTTCAATAAATTCTGGCACTTCGCTTAAACTCTGCCTGACTCAGGGTGTCTCAATGGAGCCTCAGTTTACCCTAACAACAAAAATAATCTTAATTCCCAGTCACAATGTCCACACAACAGATATGATCTGCAGCACAGAAAACTGCATAAAGTTAATACAAATCACCAGAATATTAACCCAAGTTAATGAATCAGTAAAACAATGAGGTGTCCCTTGTTATTTCTTCCTTTCTTGGTTTGTGTTTTTGTTTGTTTGTTGAGACAGGGTCTTGCTATGTAGTCCAAATTAGCCTTGAACTCGATTTGTAGCCCAAACTGGCCTTGAACATGAAAGGATCCACCTCCCTCAGCCACCACACTCCAGTCCTTCCTTTCCTGGAGGAGGGAAGGGAAAGTGGATTTAAAAAAAAAAAAAAGGAGGAGGAGGAGATGGAGGAGTAGGTGCAGAAGTATGCTGTAATACCTACATACGACCATTTCCCAAAAGTTTTTAAAAATACAAGTTTGATTCCAGGCAGGACAGAGTAACAAGCAAAAGTCTTGACACCGTGTAGAAATACAGGATTTACATCCACTATTTCCTCAACTGTAAAACCACCCCCAAATAACTGTTAACATTAAATTTCACACATGCCTAAAACAAGGTATGTGCTCAAAGTCACCACTATTAACGTCGCTTTATCCTAAACAGGATAAAGCTGCTAGATCATCCCTAAAGTAAGTCTGTTAGCAGCACCAGGGCATCCGGCTCAGGGCAGTCAGAAAACACTTCTTCCACACCCTCCAACCCCATCCCGCAGGTCTGGGCTCTACCTCACCTTGACTGCATGAAGGGAGGCCGCCAGCCTTGAGCCCTCCGCTGCAGAGCTCCTCGGCATCCACAAACACAGAGTCTTCAGTCTCCTCCTCCATTCCACAGTCATCTTCCTCCTCCTCTACCTGGTCTTTGGGAGGGAGCAGAGGTCCCACCAGTTCACGCAGGTGCTGACTGACACTGGCCATGCTCACTTTTCCCAGTTCATCCAGAACAATCTGCAAAACCCGGGAAAAGGACGCGTTGGTCAGCAGCCAATCCGCTGCCGGGCTGTGACGTCTGCAGCTTCCGCAAAGTCACAGGCGGAGGCGCCAATGGGGGCGAGGCGGGACGGGGAGGGCGTGGCCCGGAGAATCCCCGCCCCAGTTTCTGGAGCGGAGCTAGTCGGTGCGTCCCAGCTGCTGGGTGCTATTAGCGTGGCACTGCAGAGCTGCTCGCCCTGGGTGTCTCCTGCGGAGGGAGAAACATGGCAGGCCTAGAAGAGCAAGGCTTCTGCAAACTCCGCCTTCACCCCAAAAACGAAAGTATTGCAGGTATCCTTCAGGGCCTTTGGCCGCAACCGAGAGCACAGAGACTTCAGTAGCAACTGCTTGCGGCCTCTGTTTTAGGAAAGGGGCAGAGGGATTTAATTTGCATCATCTAAGATTCTTACTCAAAGTAGATTTCTAAGCCCAGTGTCCCAGACCCACTGAATTGGGAGGTAAAACTGGAACCCAGGGTTCCTTCTCTTTAGGCAAGGTCCAGGTTGTCCATCTGGATCCTCTGTCGGGCTGGGACACCATGAAAGGACACTTTAGTTTTTTCAGCCACCCCTTTGGGAGCACATAACTATCTCCCTAGCTTCTACCTGCTGGGCTGCTAATTGCTTGCAGAGAGGCAAAATGTGTGGAGTTGTGGCCCCGAGAATTGATGGGGACAAAAAAGTGAAGGAGAGTGGTTAGAAAAATTATTCTGGAGCCATGGTTGTCTCACCTCATGGAAATAGTATTTGAAGATACATGTTCTCTTTAAAGAACAGTATAACGTATTTCTCCATAACTGTGTTGATACTGTATTATATAACTTATCCTGTTAATATGAACCTAAAATAACTAAGCATACACTATTTGCTAAACAGCACCTAATGCTGAATTTTACTATCTCCTGCTCTCTACATGTGGGAATTCCACATGCACAAACTATGGGTTGAAAATATTTTTTTTATAAAGAAATTTCGTTTATAATGAATGTTTGACAGTTTCCCTGATACCCGGATGTAAAGGAAGAAAAGTTTAATTTGTCTCACAGTTTCAGAGCTTGTGTGGCAGGCTTGACTCCATAGAGGAAGCATTTGTTGGAGCAAAGCTCCTGACTTCTTAGAGGCCGGGAGGCAGGGCAGAGGGGAAATGCACCGAGGAGGAAGTGGCCAGGGACCAGATGCAGCACCCAGGGTCACACCCTATGACTCACTAGGACCCATGGCACACTGTGGTAATCTGCATGACACCTCAGTCCAATCAAATGGACAATCAAACTTAACCAGTATAGTGGATATATATAGACTTATTTCTTTGTCTTTGTTTTCTAAACTGTACAGCATCAATAATGATTTGCATAACATTTATAATGTATTGGTTATAAATGATCTAGAGTTGATTTTAAATATATGGGAGGCTGTGTGCAGGGCATCTGCAAATACGCTGCCATTTTACATGAGGGACTTGAGCATCTTGGGATTCTGAGAGTGTCTTGGGACCAAGTCCCCCATGGATACTAAGGGACAACTACACAGATGATCAACAGCCAGCACCGAGCACCGAACACTGAACAACAAAATTATGATTTAAAAAAAGGATAAAATTGATTTTTGCCCCTTTGGGTACAAACTGGTAACTGTACTATTTATTTATTTATGTATTTATTTATTTATTTCTGGCACTGAGGGTTGAATCCTGCACTGAGGGCTCCACGCTAAGCTATGCCTTTGACTCTTTCTTACTGTTTTATTTTGAGACAGGACCTTGCTAAATTCCTAAATTCCCCAGGCTAAGCTAGAACTTGCCAGCGTCTCTGGTCTCAACTCCCAGAGTGCTGGCATTATAGCTTTGTTGCTTTTAGAAGAAAAACTTTGTTGCATCTGACAAAACCCCAGTGTTTCTAAAGATCACCTATAAGAGGTTGAATTCCTTTCTTAGCACACACAGACAGCTACTGTTTCCATGACACCACTTCCACTGGGGCTAAATACCCCAGTGGATACCTTTTCTCTCTTTCTATCTTTTTTCTCTCTGTTTCTCTTTTCCTTTCTTTCTTTCTTTCTTTCTTTCTTTCTTTCTTTCTTTCTGTTTGCAGGGAAGAGTACTGGGTTCAGCACTTTTGCCCTGGACTGCAACTACAGCTCTTTTTAAAATTCCTATTTTGAAAGATGATTTCACTGTCCCTAAATTGCCCTAGCAGAATCCAAACTCGTGATCCCCCTGTCTCTGTCTCCCAGAGTTCTGGGATTACAGGTGTGCACACCATGTACTGGCCTCTTCAGTGGATGGGAGGATGTGGAGGACCAAAGCTGTGCAGTTCATGGTGGACGGGAAGCAGCAGGGGAAGAGTCCCAGAGAATAAAGGGTGACAAATCAGACATAGTTCCCAAAGTCAGGCCTCCATGACCCACCAGGAGCACTTAGAAGTGTGTTCCAATAATTCCCTGGGTGGATTCAGTCAAATTAAAACATCCCACCCTAACTGCCAAGGCTTCAAAATCTCGGGGATAATTCTGAAAATGAGAATCTTGGGATTACTCTGAGGCTGCACCTGCATACAACATAGACATAAGGTTATTTAGTAAGTGATTTTTATAATAACAAATCACTGAGAATAATGAAAATGTTAATCTATAATTCCCACAATGGACCAGTCTCAGCTACTAGTCAGGAAGATCTCCGTGAACACTTCTAAGATATTATATTACATCAGAAAAGGAAGGAAAATAAGTTTATGGCTTGGATCATAATTGTCCTCCTGAGATTTACATGTTAAAGACCTTGTCACTAGGTTATGGCACCACTGAGAAGTGGTGAAGATTTAGATGGCTGGACCTTGTGGAAGGAAGTTGGGTCACTGGGGTCAGGTGCTTGAAGAGGACCCTAGGACCCTCGGCACCCCCCTTTTTTCTCCTTGTTTCCTGACTACTGTGAACTGGTCAACTGTGCCCCACCACATGCCCCCTGCTGCAGACCCAACGCAATAGAGCAGACCAGCACTGACTGGAACTTCTGAACCTGAACCAAAACAAACTCTTCCTCCTTATACTGTAAATTGTTTGTGTCAGGCAATTGGCATAGCAATGGAAAGTTAACCACAGTGCAAATGGTCTTAACTATCTGTATATGCATGTATTTTTCACAAAGCATCACAGGAATAGTAAACACAGGAGTAGAGTAAATCACAGGAATAGAAATTAGAATGGTGCCTCGGTTCACAGACTTCATTCTTTCCATGATATGGTTGCAATCATGGGTGGTTCTTCCCCCCAGTACTCAGCTTGATTTTAATGAAGACTCTAGACTAGTACTGTATAGCAGAAATATAATGTTAATCACATAGGTAATTTAAAAGTTTCTAGTGAGTATATTGAAAAAAGTTAACAGGTGACGTTTTAATGAGACATTTTACTTAATCCAATATATCCAAAATTTCAAAATATCCAAAATTATTATTTCAACATGTTAATTTAAGAATTATTAGTAAGACTTTTTTATTACCATTTTCATCCTAACATTTTAAAAACAGTGTGTATTTTACCATTACAGCACATCTCAATTTGAACACATCTCATGTGGCTAATGACTGCCGGATTGGACAGCACAGTTACAAGTCCCAATTTTCCCAAAATCCAATATGCATTCTGTATAACACAACTAGGGTTTTCCACTCAGCGGCATGAAGAGTGATGAGGGATTCCGTGATTGCCAGTGTCCGGTTGCTAAGTTCAGAGTATAAGGAGTGGGATGAGCTGAGGCTGGAGGGAAGGAGACTGGAGACAGTACTTGCGCTGTTTCTGAAGGTCACAGCTAAAACAGTGAGAAGCCACAAGAATTTAAACCAAAGCTTAGCCATTTTCTTCTGAAAACATAGTACTTATCGCCAGTTAAACCTGCTCTCATTCCTCTGCACCCTTGAAATCTATGCTAGGAAATGCTCATTAAGTAAATAAATTGGAATCATGACCAAAATCTTCAGTATCTCATATGTAATAAATCTTATTTGGAAGGTTTTTTTCCTTGTTACATAATGTACTTTCTGATTATGTTCAAAATATATTTGTTTTCCTGTACCTTAATGTAGAGAGGCAGGTATCGTACTGTGTATCCACAGTGGATGTTGAATAAGTGAGAATAAACTTTTATACAGTCATTTCACTAACATTGCAATCTGTTCATTATTTCAATGGAACCATGACGATCCTTCCTGATAGAATTCTGGATCGTGTACTAGATAGTTGTGTTCGGCAAGCACAGTAAAAATTATGAGAAAATAGAGGTCTTGTCAAAAAGTTATGCTAAGGACACATGTATATTGGGTATTAATACAAAGGATTAGAAACCTGCACTAGAGGCCTGACCCAGAGGAATTTGAAGGCTGAAGTGCTTCAGTAGCACTGTGCAGTACCAGAACGGACATGAGGAGGCAGAAAGCACTAGCCACAATGAGCTGACATCTAGTTCCCAAATTTATTCAGAGGGAATTCAGACTCCTTGCAGGTAAAGGGATAAAAATTTCACGATCAGTAGCTTTCTGGAGTGTCCAGTTGACTCATATTATGTCACCCAATACATTGTCTTCTATTAAAACAAGGATACATTTTATAGAATAAAAATTAGAATGACTATTTAAAAGATAAAACATTAAGGTGATTCCATCTTTGAAGGACAGATAAGGCAGTATCTCAAGGCATATTAAGACAAGGACATTCATGAACTTTTTTTAGTCATCCGGGTGCTTTGGTAAAGATATTGATCAAACAAATTCATATGAAAGTTAAGATTTTTCTCTCTAAATGTTACAAGCAAAACAATGGCCTTTTTAACTTCAATTATAGTTTAAATTAGTTTGCTTTATTACAGAACTATTTATTCACCCTACAATATTTATTGTGCTAAATCCACACCCTTCTGTATCTACTTCAACATGTGAGTTTTTAAGCTGTTAGAGAATGTGTTTGTTAGATATTATGCCTTCTTAAATACATTTGCTAGGAACTCCTTTCTCAGCAAAGATACCATTATCAAGGTAATCATGAAGCAAAAGCATATTGATTCTACCACCATCCAGAGATAGTGCTAGGACTCAATCCCTAGTATCCATGTTGGACTGTGGTGTTATTTTTGAAAATTCTTTATCCTATCTCATATGATTAGTTTAAAAAGCAAACATTTGGAAAGTATTAATAAGCATATGATTATAATTCAGCCAGTCAAATATTTTAGGCCAGTTACTGTGCTGGGTTCTAAAGAGAAATGGTAAACAAAATGGACCAAGTCCTTGAACCTCCCATGAGAAAAGCCAAAGAACAAGTAAAAATAAATATCAAGTGATGATGGGCACTAGAAACAAAACAAAAAGAGAGTAAGGTGTTGGGGAGAGGGACGATTTGATATTTTGGAGTGATCACAGTGCTGAAAATTGACACTGATGAGGTTGATGAAGGCATTGTGTTATATTGGGTATGAAACGAATTGCTGAATACAAAGAATGCAAATCAGGGAACATGTGAAAAGTGCTGTGCATGCACAGTCCACAATCAGCTATACATGAAGGAAATTGACTTCGCAGAACAGAAACATATTTGCATTCTACAGGGTCAGTGTTCTTATAGAAGACAGACTGCATTTTGGTTAAGAAGTGTGTTTTTTTCCCAAGTTTATTTGAAATAGCTAGAAAATTCTCTCCATTTGAAAAAAAGAGTCTAAATACAACATCTACTTCTGGCCAAGGAGAAAAAGAGTTATTCAGCCTAGGAAGCACTGGAGAGGAGTAAGGTCTCAGGAACACATTTGGAGGGTTGGGATGTAGCTGAATGGCACAGCGCCTGCCTGGGAAGCTGGAGGTTCTGACTTTGATTCCCGGGACCCAAAAAACAAACAAACTAACAAACAAAATTTGAGGCTGGGGATTTAATTCAGTGGTGTAAGCACCTGCCTGGTAAGCACAAGGTTGTGAGTTCAATCCCCAGAACCCCTCTCCAAAAAAGAAATTTGGAATGATGAAGAGCAAAAAGTAGAGGAATAACTAAGAGACGAAGGGGAGAAGGCAGAAAGAGAAGTGGAGAGAGGACCAAGGACAAAGCAGATGCGGGGCACTCTCAAAGGGTTTTAAATTTTTCCTTAAAACTATAGCACTATATTAGCACATTTCATTAAGGAGATTTCATTAAGAATATTCCATTTGAAGAAAGAAAACAGAGAACTTGGAGATTTCAAGGAAAAGGTTTCTCGCTCAGAAAATGGAACATTTGTGCATTTTACGTTCTTTCCTTAATTACAAACAAACATTATGGCTAATATTGAGTGTGTATGATGTGCCAACCACAACATGCTTTTTATGAATTAACTCATTTCCTTTTCATAAAAGCCTTATGAAGTAGGTACCATTAAAATGTCATTTTACTTATGAGAAAACTACTACTGAGAGGATAAGTAATTCACTTAAAGTTGGAAGTAGCTGAGCCCAGGTTAGAAGCCAGAAAGTCCGAGTGCCCTGGCTACGCTCTCGGCTGCCACATATTTAGCCCAGGATCTATGCTCTACCTGTCTGTGTGTGCAACCAGAGTGCACTCGGGTTGTGAGGAAGCGTATCTTCTTCCAGCACAGTGCAAATCATCCTTGATTTGTTGCCTCTCTTCTCTTTGAAATTTGCCAAATAGTTACCATATGCACTTCTCTGGAATCTTCAAGTAGATTTAAAATAATTGTAAAGGAGCTACACTGTCATATTATTAAGAAATTCTAAATATTAACACTTGTTTTTTTACACAAAAATATGTGTTTAAGATTGTTAGTTCATAGAACAGAAATGAATACTCTTTTGTCTTTTTCCTGGCTGGCTCTGTTTCGTACAAGTTATTGTTCACCGGCACCTTTTGCCAGATGTTTGACCATGATTTCATCTTTCAAGAAAAAAATGCTTCTTTATAACTTCTCTTTTAAAACCTCCACCTATCACTGTTTGCTAAAGGACATTATTGCATGAAGGGTAAGCACAGAGTTTAGGTGGTTTTGCTCAAAAGATGTACTCAGACAGTAAGTAGTTCGTTTAACTGATCCCAGTATTATATCTACTCTCCCTCTTCCTCTGAAATAGCTCTTTGAATTGCCCCTGTATTATTATGCTACACGCATAAACTTTCCTGGGATATGGAGGTCTGCACAGTTTTTTTACAGAACCCCCATTCTCTTGACTCTGTTAAACAATTTAAGCTATTCCGAATCAGCATGCCAATATCATGCCAGTAACCCAAGCTCAAATATACAAATGATGTTGCCCAGTGGAAGCTGTTGGCTTGCCAGGCAACCCCTTCCAGAACTTGGTTGAGACTATGGAACCCCTGAAGACTGCGTAGGCATGAGTCAGGGGACGCCCCAGGATATTTGGAACAGAAGGGCAGAGAGTACTCAAATGGGAGAAGCAGAAAGAGAAGCCAACAGGGGGCCCAAGTGACAGAAGATGTCTTAGAAAACTTGAGGACAGCATTTTAAAGACTGGTATAAGAGTGGGGTGTAGAGTTTTCTGTGGTATTTCTGTAGTATTTATCAGGGGATTAAGCCTCCACAAAAGATTAAAAATGACTGTATTAGGACAGAGGAGGCCATAGAAAAGGAATAAGTAGGAAAAAGTCACTAAGAGAATCAATTTGACAATGGAACAAGGTCAGCAAGACCACCTTGAAAATATTTGCAATAACCAGTGCAAGCTGGCAGTCTGAAGACAGGCTGTAGCCCACAGATATTAAGTGAGTGAATTGAGTTTTTAAATTTGGGAGGGCTTTCTGTATATTAATCAAGCTTATTGGTACATTTAAGTGTACATAATGATCACATTCATCATAGGCAATTTGTACCTGTACATGGCATAATTGTTTCTTTTTCTTCCCCATTCCTCTACCTGCCCTTCAACCCTTCTTCTTCTCTTTATTTACAGAAGCTTTGTTTCCATTTTTTCCTTCTTTCTTCTTTTTCTTTTCCCTCCCCCCAATCCCTTTCCCAATGGAACATTTTCTTGCTATTTCACAATAACTATTACACATTTTTGTCCTTATTTAAACTTTTGGTTTCCCACACAATAGAAACAATGAAGTATTTACACTTGTGTCCAAAAGTATGGCCACAAGGCACAACCATTTAGCTAAATATGTTTCATGGCAGTGTATCTAAAATCAGGAATAAGACAAGGATGTCCACTATCACCACCCTATTCAATATAGTTTTGAAAGCATTATTCAGAGCAATTAAACAAAAGAAAAAAAATAAAAGAAATGAGGGTGAGGAAGGAAAAAATTAAATTATCATTATTTGTAAATGACATGATACTCTACATAGAAGACTCCAAAACTCCCACCCAAAGACTTCTAAATGTGAGGTACTAAGACATTAATTTATTTGTCAAGTTAAAAACCAGAAAATTTCAGATTATAGTAATTATAAGCTTCATCGAATTTAGAATATTTGGCACTATTTGGCTAGCATCCCCTTACACCAGAATTTGCTTAAACTAAGTTCTTTGTATCCCCTTTAAATGAGCTCTGTCCTCTCTCATTCATCATGGTCCTCATTCACCCCTTTGTGCCCTCTTACTTGTTGACTTCCTATAGGATTTGAAGCCCTGACTCTGGGCCCTAACTGAAGTAGGGGCTGTGAAGAGAAAGGAATGGGTTTAAGGAATGTGAAGGAGATGTATTTAAGATGGGTTACTGACCAATTAGGTGAAGGGCAAGAAAATCTGGATGAGTAATGGTATTATTATAGATGGCTGAGTTAGTTAGAAATATTATAGGCAGTCCCTCAGGGCGAGGCCCTTCTCCACAGGAATCAGTACAGGAACATTGCAACTGAGGGTGGAGACCTCTTCCTCAAACAGGAATAGGTCTTGTCAGACCTCAAGACAACAAATAAGTTGACTACACCTAGTATTTACCCTCGGGATGAACAGCGGTAATTGATAGTCTAAATCAGTATCTGTATCCTTGGGTAGGGGTCCAAAGCTTCTCTTTCAGAACAAGTCACTGTCCAGTCCATGTACACTTGGTACATGACTTGCTTCCCATTTGATCCCCATTTAATCAATATTAACTAAGTGATTATACCTATAATCTTATTCGATGATCATACCTTTTCCCACCTCATGGTTTCCCATTGGATCAGTGTTACCTAAGTGACTGTGCTTGTATCTTATTAGTTGAATGTACTTTTTCCCAGCTTAGATTCACCTCACCTGATAGTTTTGCTCTATAAAACTCCCTTAAGAAGTTATGTCCTTGGCAACCCTCTCAGGACCTCTTCTGTCTCTCTTAGACGGGAGCTTTCTTTCTCCCAATAAATATGGCTTTCTTTCCCAATAAATAATTTCTGCTCTTAACCTCCATTATCCCTTAATTCATTCTTCAATTTTAGAGAACACTCACTTGGCGTATGTTTCCCTTATATTATTTAGATTATTTGGAGGTTCAATATCATCCCTATACCATTTGGACTTCTCTTATCAAGATAATTGGATGTAGGTAAGGATTTGTTTTTGTTTCATAGATTGTGGATTGTGACTCACTTTGGCAATCATAATTTTTTTTTGTGCCTTGACTTTTTAAGCATTATCTTTGTCACTTGCATATGCTTTAATTTTTTGTGCTATATTTTTGTCAATACTTGCCTCTTATACATATTATTTGTTAAAATAATGATAAATTTAAGTTGAGAATATGGAAAGTTTATGATGGTTCCTTAATGGGCCTTTTAGTCCTGTTTTGTAGATGCTGCATTTGGATTCCGCATTGAATTTCCTGGTCTCCTTGCTTGACTTGTTAGACAAAAGCAGTAGGAAAAGTGTATTAGAGCATTGCCAACTGGACTTTGATATAAAATTCTGTAAAATGGGTCATTTATGAAAGCTAGTTTATATTTAAGAAATACACCTGCCTTTTAATAAATCACAGGACTCTGTCCACTGGTTAAGACAATAGGTCAATGGCTGTTCTTAAGACTTGGGGTACAGTTTTCCCTGAAACAAACTGACTCTATCCTTCTCCTCTAGAGAAAATGTCGAGTCTGTTTTGCCTCCTTCCAGTAGTGAGAAGACAATCTCTTCTTATCTTTCCCTGCCACATTGTACTTTCCTTTTTTTGGAGGCTTGTAAGGTTAGAAAGAGAAAAACTCTAAAGTGCCCCAAAATTTTCCTCCTACCCAACAAATAAGAATCTTTAAGGTGAGCCCATAGAAAAATGAGTGTTAACTTGAGAACAACCTTGTCATCTGTTAGACCTCTCTTCTCTTCAGAAAGTCAGGCTGAGGCAGATTGCAACAGCTATTTGCCTTTCACAAAGGAAATAGCTACACTTGTGCCTTATATATGCTAATTAAGGGTAAGAAAGAAATTTTAGCCCTTCTCTTCTTTCATATACATGCAGAAGACTGGTAAATGTGCACTTACTAACATGTGAATTTTGGTTGCTAGGTGAGGAGCTTAAGTTTAACCTGTGAGCTACTGAGACATAGAAATTTTAGAGTGGACTTTAAATAAAACTTAGCCTTGTCTTGCTGCTAAGGAAGATTGCCTAGGTGAGTAGGTAGATAATTTTATCTATCTCTAGAGATGATCTCTCTTACAGCCTGGGAGATGCTCCAATCACTTTCAATTTTCTCTTTCAAGAAACTGAGGTTTAGATCACTTGATTGTTTTGATTATTGGTTTGCTAGCAAGGCTTCCTTCTCTAAACATGACCATTATAGCTAGAATCATGGGTGGCTTGAACTTTAGAAACAACTGCTAAAGTTAGGAGTATGATTTCATGGGGAAGACAGGTCATTGGTGATTAGTACGGACCCTGCCTATCTTCTGGTCCCTCTCTAAAGGCAGCCACCTGCTCTGGGATGGATCACCTTGGGGGACACTTAGGAGATATGATAACCAAGAAAAAACTAAAGGAATGCTGTTGGGGCTGGGGGCTGAAGGGGAATTTTTGTGGTGAGTCCCCAAGAAAAGAATGCACATGGGACTGATATCAGTAAAATAGCAAACAAGCATCTTTATTGTTCAGCCCTTATATATATAGTTATCATATATTTACATTCTTGTATACTGATTTAACCATATGGTACTTACACAGTTGCCTGTGCTAAGTCATGTTTACATAAGTGGATCCCACTCTGTGCCTATGCTAAACAGTGGGGTCATGTCCTCCTGTGTCCTCAGGTACCCTGAGCTTTGAAGCAATCTGAGGTGGCTCCCCACATCTCACCCCCTCAAATGTCAGAGAACTATCACATCTTGTGAGCAGTCCATAGAGCTGACCCCTGCCCACAGAGACCACCACGACAAAACAGAGAACAGCATAATACCACTAACCTCATGGCTATCACAGCTTACGACTGGCTAGCACCAGGTAGATACCAAGGATACCATTGGGTGAGGGAGGCCTGCTGCAAGATGGTGGAAACCTCCACAGCTATTTCCTATAAGGCTTTTCATACCTGTGTCTGGGATAAAAATGCAATATTCTATCTGCAAGAAGGCACAAGTACCTCATTGTACTGCAGATAGAAAATCAAGAGCCATGCAGTTGTGTGAAACTTTCTCATTTGAGAAGTTTTACCCATGAGTAACACCAAATCCTGCTGTGTAAATTTCAGGGCCTGGGCCATATGTTGAGCAAAAACTTCAACCTTAGGGGGCTAGGTCTATGGTCCCTGCTTGTTGGGGACCACTAATTTACAATGGCCAATTTTTTATACTTCTCTAAAAAGATGATGAAATGGATGCTTGTGATTATCAATACCTCCTATTTGAGAGTTCCCATTGATTCTTCTTACCATATGATCATCTACACCCTCTTGAGTCATCCCAGGATTATAACCCAGGACAATATCCTTCTTAGCATATGATCATCTATGCCCTCTTGAGTCTGAGTCTTCTGCCAAATTGTAATCCTTTGCTATGCCCACTTATCAATGTATATCTCTAATAAATAGTGGCTGCTTGGGGAGTGGAGGAGGACCTGTCCAGAGATATTGACTTCCCAGCCATTAATGCAATACGATACTTGTCTCTGTTTTTTAGTTTTCTAGCTGTACTCTTAAGACAATCAGGACACTTGGCCTGGCTCCCAATATCTGCCCGTAGGAGCATCAAGGCCACCAGATAAAGCCACCAGGACACCTCTTTAGTGTTGGGCCAACTGTGGTACACAGTATGCCAATTGTGGGGTGCGTGATGGTGAGTCTGATAGTACCCTTAACATCCCCAAGTGTAGTGCCCTATTTGAGTAGATATAGCCACCTCATGGTGCCACAGACCCATAAGGCTTCCACAATGGGCCAATTCATTGGATGCCATACTGCTGAGCTTATGGTCATCTCAACATTCATTTATCAGTAACATACAGTTACACAGACCAAGTGGTATCCACCCAGTGGCACAGTTCTCCACTGATGTATTCACCTGTAGAGTACAAAATGGGGTCTCACCCAGCAATGTTACTTGGTTCCCCAAAATCCACCCCCAGCCATTGTACATAATAGACCCCAATCCCTGAGGAATGGTCATGTTCTTCTGGATCTTCTTGGCATCACTGATCCCAGATAAAGCCACCAGGACACCAGGCAGTTACAGCTGCCAGTCAGTCCATTGCAGCAGGGAGGCTAGTGGGATTCGCCACAGGAGGTCCTCAGCAGTATCAGTAAGAGCTCAGTTCACACCCAGCAATGTGATCCTTGGTGTACATAGGCAAATGTTTGTGCCCAGAAGTCAACACTATTAGTGTGAATCACCCTGGGCAGAGGACAGGGCACAAAGAGAAAGCATTATAAAGAGTCTTGCCCTTTGGGGAGGATGCAGGCCACATGTCCATGTTGAGGTAGGATTGTGGCTGGAATCATTTCCCTACCCTTAGAATACCAAACCTAGGTCCCCATCACTACCAGAGGTAAGAGAGTCAGGGCTAGGTGCACCAGTCCAGATGGATGGGCCAAAAATCCACATCACTGCCTTCAGAATGGTGTCTCCAGCATCAGGTAGACAACACAACAAAGTCCTTAAGGCCATGTCAAAGTCCAGGGCTCTTCTTCTAAGACATATCTCAGCCCCTCCCTCCAGATTTCCAAGAGAAACACCCAATTCCCCACCAGGAGGCTCTGTGGGCCAATCCCAAATTCGTGGATAACACCTCCAACCACATGGGTTCAACAGTTCCAACAAGGAAGTGGTTAAGGCCCCTTTTATTACCTTAGGACCTTGCTCTGTGGGGCAAAATGCACAGAAAAACTGGCTGTGTTTTCAAGAAGTCATCTAGTGGGGTGTTAACTCATGTGTGGGGGCTGGTCATTGAACAATTGGACTGGCTGAGGTAAGACCGTCACCTACCTGGCAAACTTTGGAGCCAAACAGGTTTTCAGGAGCCCATGGTACTTTTTTGTCATACCAGTGGCCAATGGTCAGTAGGGCACATGGAAGTGCTGTCTGACATCATTGTCTGTGGCCCATTGTTGTACCTGAGCCCATGTGAATTAGGTTTCCTGGTCTGACACTATTCCTAGCAGCATCCATACACAAGAATCAACCATTAGAGGCTGGGGATTTAGCTCAGCAGTATAAGCGCCTGCCTTGCAAGCAGGCAGTCGTGTTCAATCCCTGGTACTGATAAAAAACGAAAAAGACCCCCCCCCCAAAAAAAAGAATCAACCATTACAGTGCCTTCATGTTGTGGGCTTGATCAGCAGAAAGAGATACACCTCTGGCTATATCTATAGCAGTCAAAGCATATCTAAGTCCCTGCAAGAGAGACAGGGGTCTGGTATAATTCACTGCCATTGCTGTAGAGGATGAGGTGGCTGTGGTATCATGTCAAGCTGTATGGGCACCTTCCTTCTCCAAAGCACCAAATGGGCACAAAGGGGATTGCCTTTACTGCAGCCTTTGACTCAGCCCGAGTCAAATCCAGGTACCACAACTGTACTACTGCTTGCATGGTGTGGAGTCCTACGTGTCCCAGTTTCTTATAAAACCAAGGAGCTACTGCAGAAGGCAGCCCTCAGAGAGTAGCTACCCTTGTGAAAGCATCTGCTGTCATTCCCCAGTGAAGTAGAGGGGCTTTTATTCTGGAACAGGGTATACCACATAGTCAGTGTTTGGCCATGCCTCAGTAAGTCTTACCATAAATCAGTCCCCCCACAAGGAACAGTGCCCTATCTGCCAATCCTGGGCCACCCAAGCCTGCAACCAGAGCATCAGCCCCCTAAAGACAGCCCAACAATCCATGCAAGTAGGTAAGGGGCCTTCTTCGTGCCTCACAAGTAGTCACACTGTCTGCAACTCCGCCCAGTTTCTTGACTTGCCTGTTCCAATTTCACACAGAGAATTTTTGTACTAAGCTGGACAGTGACTGCTGTCCATTGAGGGGTTGTGCCAGGACTGGACCCATCTGTGTACCAAGCATCAGCTGAAGGTCCCACTTTCCTTTCTGCATAGGGGCTAGGTTTCAGCACCGGTAAGCCAACATCCTGTATAGTTTCCTGTGACATGTACGTCAAGGGACCCCAAAATGTAGCCAACTTGGCTGCCAGTATCCTACTCAAAAAAGAAGTCTGCTGGTGCAAGTATATCCTTTAACATTTGAGGGTGGGAGCCTGGAATCCTCCACCCCTGGGACGGATATCCACATATGCACCCAGCCATCAATCATTTATCTTGGTTGCACTTCTGCTGCCCGTTGCCCCATGATTCCTTCACAGGCAAGCATAGTGGCGTGAAATAGGGACACAGAGAGTGGCTTGGTCCAGGTGGCCAAATTCTAGGCCACCAGGTCATAACACAAATAGCTTTGTGGCAACAGCTGGAAAGTCCATTGCCTGCCCTCCCTAATGAAGGCAAATTGGTTCTGACTGTCAGGCATGAGAGAAATGAAGGAAAAGGCACTGGCCAAATCCACAGTGTAGTGGTATCAACCCAGGATCAGGGTGAGACAGT